CCCCCCTCCCCAATACCCTCATCTGCACCTGCAGAGGCCCGGCACGCCCACCTCACGGACACCTCAGGCGATGACGACGCCCTCTACCCGCATCTCGCCTAGCCGCACCGCTATCCACGCCTCTGATCCCATCCCGCGGTCCCGAAACGACTCCTTCGACGCTGCGAGGACGTTCTGCAGCCAGTAGGCGCTGCAGAAGTCCGCGCGACCGTTGTTCGGTTGGCGGTTCGGGGCAGTAGGGCTGACGAATGTCGACGAAGGGGCCGCGAATGCTCGTACAAGTTCGGGTTTGGGCCTTTTGCTCCAAAGTTCCCCCGCCGGCCCCTCTCCTCTCTCGTCTCGACGCAGAGCTGAGATTACCTTTGCCCGGCGACCCGAGCATCGTTCATCCGTCGAGCACGACATCGTCTGGCCCACGATTGTGCTCTGAAGCACAGCACCGCAGGTCAGGCCATGTCTCTCGAATCGCCTGAGGGCCCGGGAGCGAGCAGGTCTTCATACGTGCGCATATAATTTTACGTGGACATTCAACGTGCACGCGTTTGACATGGTATGAGGACTTGGCGCGAGCAGCCATGTCTGCGGCGGCGTCGTGACGAGAACGGGGTCCTCGGCCATGTCCGTTTGGAGAATGTCATAACAGACTGCCCGTGCCCGACGCAGCACAGCCCAGGCCGTCGGCGCTCGCTCCACTCGGCTCAATAACGACCAGGCGGCTTCGGGGGAGCGAACTGGCCGAGTGTGCGCTTCGGGAGCGCGGCGAGCGACGCCATTGGCCCGCTCCCATCCTCCAGGAAGCCACAGCAGCCATTGCCCTGTAAGCGCTGGGCATGTGGAGGGTTAGTGGCCACCGGAGCGTGGCGGAGCAGAGACAGGCACCTTCGCTTCCAGGCTTTAGCACTGGCTTCCCACCACAACAATTCGCCTCGCCCATTGGCCCACGGCCCTCGCATTCGGAAACCGATCGCATCTGCCTGGGACGTTTCGTTGGTCACGTGATGGGTACGGTATCCTCACGGGCCAGGGTGACTGAGATTGTGAGTGGCGGCAGTGCATCAGAGCGACCAAGGCGCTGAACCAGCAGGACAAACATGGCCCGCCACAGACGGTGTCGCCGGTGAACACAGTCTTCGCGGCGAGCCGTGATGCCTTTGTACAAATACGAAACGTACCCAAGTATCTCGAGGTAAATCAAGCGCAGCACCGCATGGCATCCTGTTACGTGATTCAGTCGGCCACCTGGTCCCGGTATCCTTGCAGGCGTGGCACGTCGATGGGCAGCAGGCGTCGCAGCTAAATATATGATGTTCGATGTGTCCAGCATTGTGGTGTCGGCGTTTCATCTTTCGACATTGAGATGGATGCCCAGCGTCAGGTTTCGACTTGAAACACGAGCCCGTGGCCGTCGCGAGCCTGACCGACTGGCAACCGTTGAGGGACGCTCTGACGGGGCGGATGGGCACCGTTCTGTACGGACCAAAAATTCATGATGCTGCCGTTTCGTCGGGCCGCGGCCGTGTACGTGTATCGATGAGGCTGTCGCAGCTTTGCCACAACCAGGCGAGTCGCCCGCAGGACAGGAATAGCAGCCATAGCCCAGGCGGCCCAGCACTGCCCATCAATGCGATATTGGCCTGGGGAAAGGAGAACAGTGGCGGGTCGGGATCCGCTGCGAGGCTCTCGACCCATCGATTCTTCTTATCTTGACCGAGGACCTGGGGCATGGGGCGCGACTGGAAAGTCTCGGTCAGATGGCGTGACTCTTGGTGATGGCGACGTTGGCGAGCAGACCGAGCTGAATGCTCCAGTCCCACGTGGAACGACAACACTGCGACGACATCCAAAGCGCCGCGATCGGAGTGGCTATCGACCCATTGTCTGCCGTTGGAGCGCGAAGGGGTATGCATGTGTTGAGGAGCTCCCTGAGCGTAGTTCCGCGAAGTTGCCAGCGGTGTTTGGCCGAGACTCATGAGCGGCCTGATGCAGTCCCCCAGCAGCTTCCCGCGGAGGGGCCATTGGCAGCCAACGGCGAACGGCCAAAGAAGCTCTCAAATAAGCATCTCTGCCCGAGCGTCACAGCCTGTAGGTATTATGTATAATGCACGAAGTAGTATGCGCGTCGTCGATCCAGCGGCCCGGGGGATTCATTCGTCGCTCGCCATCTCTAGATGCCCTGTTGGGCATCAAGGGGTGCCTGCCTGCCAATGCCGCCTCGCGCACATATCTGTCCTCGCACAGCGCCGTCGTAAAGTCAGCCGCTGCTTCTTAAATAAGCCATAAACGACGCCGCGCGGTTGCTGTCGTCCTCCATGATCCAACGCACGCGGTGCGAGGCGCGTGCATGCCATGAGCAGGAGTGCAGCTTCCACGCTCGTCCTCACGGCCTGTCCTGACTCCTGAAGGCCTGAGGCAGAGCAGCGACTCGCAGCAACTCGCAGCAACTCGCACCAACTCGCAGCTGCCGTCACCCATGGCATCAATCACGGGTCTCCGGTCACGACGCCTCGTGATTGGCCGCCAGCCGGGCCCAGCTGGCCAACCGCCTGCTTAGGTAATGCTCCGACTGAACAGCACTTGCTGCCCAAGAAGCCGCCTCGCTGCCTCGGTGACCTTGTTTCCCATCTGCTTCTACCCGCGAGGCAAACGGCGGTGACCTGGCAGCCTGCCCGTGGCGCGTCACGTTTGTTTATCTCGCGGCGATATCGAGCTCCCCGCGCGTCCTGCCTTCGCAACCTGCACAACGTCCCGGCTGCACTCTCACTCGATACCCGTGTGGCCTCACCGCAAAGCAACTGCACATCCGCGGGGCAAGGACGACGCCTGCATTTCATCGAAAGCTCGTTCCTTTCCTGGAACTGGGTGGCCGCCTTCATTTCTGTTTTTCTGCAAGTCCGTGGCTGCCAGGTGAAGCCTTGTTTGTCGTTTGTTCCGGAGCGTCTCATGCAAACCGCCGGTTGCCTGTGAACCCTCACACGCTCCGTTCATCGCTGTAGACTTGGGACACCTGCACAGGCTGCAGCATGTTACGCCCGCAAGCTTAACGTCTCCAGATGGGTAATAACAAGCGGAAGCCGCCCGCCGCCGTCGCGGGCGGCCCCAAGGAGCGTCACAAACGTGCCCAGAGACACGGCAACGGTTCGCTTTCGCCCCAGCCGCCTCCGGGCCTGGATGCGAAGCGTCCACTCCCGAAGCCTAGGGACAAGCATTACAGCTACTTCGAATTTGTTGAGAATAAGGACAAGAAGAAGAAACTCGAGTGCGCGGTGAGTCAACGCCAAGTTCTCGCACCCTGGCACACGTTGCTGACTTCGTCACAGAACATCGCCACCTCTATCCCTCCCCAGGGTTACAGCTTCATCCCTCTTGGCCATCCAGAATTGACCAAGCTCTGCAAAGAGCTATCGCGAGAGCAGGGCGTGAAGATCTACATTGTTTCAGTAGGAGACCTTGACGATCGCAAGGACCGAGTCCACGTCAAGGCTAAGAAGAAGAAGCAGAATTGCAATCCCACCGGTGCTCAGTCCTTTGCCAACCAGATGAGCCGGATGGGCTTTCATTTCTCATCTTCCATCGTGGACAAGGCCAGAGAAACATTGTCCTTGGATACCCGTTCCTATCCGATATCCGGTCCGTCTCGGCGTCCAGAGCCCATTCCAGCGTCACAGGAAGAGTACCACGCCCAGGTTGACGCCGTTTTGCGAGACTTATTCCCCCGAATTCCCCATACTGACCGCCAGATCATTATTGATCATGCGTTCACGCGGGTAAGTGTCTACGCAACACAGCTTACCGTGCTCGATAGCGCTAACGAGTGGTTCACAGCGTGTCCGGTACAAAGGCGGCGAACCACCTGTTGGGCTGTCTCGCGACATGACCCTTGCGCGCAGAGTGCAACTTGCAGTCCTGGCACACATACGGCATAGTCATACTAGGTATGACGAATTGCTCAGAACAGGGGCTTGGCACGACGCCAGAAAGCAGGTCCAGTCGACGTGTCTGGATGTCCTCGTCAAGTGGCGGGGTGACGAAGAGACTGGCCGCGACCAGCTTGAAGAGATTTTGCGAGAGGTTGTCGTCATCTCAGATTCTGAAGACGAAGAGTCCGCCGATGAGGAGCCACCGGAATTCAAGCCAGCTATGTCTGCAGAGCCTCAACAACTCGAGTCGATCACGCTGCCAACTCCGGAGGTTCCGGCTCCAAATGCGTCGCTTCCGACAGCGCAGCCTTCCGACGGCGTCCGTGCTACTGAACGGGTTCAGCGACGTGGTTTCAAGAGATATGCCGCGGTTCAGCAAGCATGGGATGCTGCACGCCTGCGACATCAGCGGGACCAAAAACCCCCACAAGGCGCTCCAGCTTCAGAGGATATGCCCAACGTGACTACGTCCGTTAACTCGCATGAACATCGTGCCCCCATGAGTTTTAGCCTGCCAGGAAGGGCGCCGAGCTCGAACGGCTACGTCCCGCATATCGTGAGTCAGGATATCCCTGCCAACCGAGAGCAGGCCCCGTACCCAGAGGTTCACTTTGCCGCCCGCCAACCAACACTCGGTTCATCGGCGCCACATGCTCCCCGCGGTGACAGCCTGAGAGACCTTGTCGTCCCCTCTATCGAGAGCTCCGGGTATCCTGCGCCCGGTGCGTCTAGCAGGGGCGAAGATCGGTTTGTGTTTCCATCGATTCAACGGGGCATGGGACCTTTTAACGGCCCTGTCTCGACTCCCGTGATCCACGATGGACAATACGGCTTCATCCCTGGAACGCGAAGTGTTGTCGACCGCCTGGGGTATCAGCGTACAAGCCCCCTCGGCTATCACTCTGACGGCGTCGTCCATCAGATGCCAGGGCACGATCAGGGCGTGCATGGCAACGAGCGACGGGCCGAGCAGAGCATGCCTTACCCTCGACCCTACGATACACCACGCATCGACGGGGATATGCAGAGCCCAGGAAGACTCGCCCCCGACCGTATTGTTGTGAATGCCGCGGCTCCGGGAAACCGTTCGAACCCAATCGTCATGGAAGATCGTGGCGGGTTCTATGAAAGAGTCCCAGTGCCAGAACCTGCCGGGATGCCTAGCCGTCAAGTGACAGGCGTGCCGGCACGACACAGAGTCGTCTCAGGGGAAGAAGGCTCCAGGATTCTCCAAGAAACCCAAGGAACGCCCGGAGTCGAGATAATCCCTCTTTCTCGTCCCGGCAACGCAGCTCAGCCAATGTACCCGAGCAATGGCTCTGTGATGGATCGTGCTTCCGGAAATCCGTGGGAATCCGCGCCGCAGTCTGCTCATGGGGGGCCCGGCTATGTCGAAGGTAACCATGGCTATGCGCTGCAGCCCGGTACCCCTTCGTTCCCGCCTCCGCCGCCGCACTATTATCAGGGAGAGTAAGTTGGACTGCGTGCCTTTCCGCTCTCGGCTGTTCGACGCAGAACTTCTTACATTGTTTAGATCCCGAACCGAAGTCTTGCATTCACAGCAACCGTTTCCAGTACCTTTTGAAGGGGAGTCACTGTATTACCAGGAAAGTCGGCCACCTCGAAGCCGCTACGGTCACTTTGGACCGGGACATCAAACTCGCACAACCCATCCTGACGAAGTCTATCCTCTCCGATAAGCAAGCGGTGCAACCTTCGTCGGGTTTCCGTTGATAGCACCCTGTCTCACTTTCGCAGCAACACAGGCTGCAGGACATTACCCGTTGGGATGACACTGCGTGCCTATCATGCGAGCGGCACTGTATGCCGCATGGCGTTAACATCTCGTGATGGAAGGTGGCGTTGGGACGCGAGGCTAGGCGGTTGACACGCAATCGATGCCTGCTCCCCTCTGAGATTACGTCTGAATGAGGAAACGAACGAATACCCTGCGCGTCTGGAAGACGGCTAGAGTCTGGAATCAGCTGGCGATGAAGTCATGAGCATTCAGGATGGATGGCATTCGTGTTTTTTTGTTTGCAGGCATGGCAGGCGATGCGACGGCGTTTCGGACTAGAGGCGAGCATGTTTGGCGAGGATTATTTGTTCAATTACTGGAAGAATCATACACTGTCGACATTCAGTCGTGACTACGGCGTGCAAATTCATGTAGCAAAGTGCGAGCATGTACATTCCACGAAGGAAAATCAGTGACCCAAAGTCTTGTTTCTTTCACTCTACCAAGACTACGTACAACATTTAAACGCCAAATCATGTAGTGCCAAAGCCAACGGCCGCCACACGCGGCCTCATTCATGAACGTGGGTATTTTGCTTGGAACAGGCAGACGGTGACCTTCAAGGTTCCGTCGCCGTGGCCAAAGAGCTTGTTCCGGCCCCCTTTTTCCCCCTGGCGCACCGTGTTCGTCTAGTTGCGCCCCTTCCTGCCCTTGTGCACGCCGCCTCCCACAGACGGGCCATGCTGCTTCTCCATGCCAAGACCTCTCCTGCCAGCGGCGATGCCTCCCTTGCCGCTCCGGGCACCACCGCGGCCGCCAGCGCCACCACGGCCACCGCCCAGGCCGCCGCGCATGGGGCCGCCCCTGCCGCGGAACTTGCCCCCGCGGTCGCCGCGCCCGGGGCTGATCTTGCTCTTGATGGTGGCGGCGGCGCTGTCGTCGAGGTCCTCCATGTCGTCGTCGTCCTTGGACCGGCGGTTCGAGAACTTGAGCTTGCCGCCGCGGCCGCGCTTGGCGGCGTCCTTGCCCTTGAGGGCGGCGACGTAGGCTCCCACGCCCGAGGCGCCCTCGGGCTTGTCGACGTCCATGGCGGCGTCTTCGTCGGCCTCGTCGTCGCTGTCCTTGCCGAGGATGAGCTTGCCGTCGAGGTCCGTCTTGGCCTTGGTCTTGGTGGGCTTGCGGAGCTTGACGGGCTTGGTGGAGGAGATGTTGGCGAGGGCCTTCTTGTCGAGCAGGTCGAGCGGCTCATCGTCGTCTTCGACAATGTACGTCCTGCCGCCCTTTTGGGCCTTCTTGCGGGGCTTGGTGTCGGCCTCATCGTCCGAGGCGGCGTCGTCGTCCGAATCACTGCTATAGAGTGCCTGGTCGTACTCGTTCTCATACTGCCTCTTGGGCTGGTCGTCGTCCTCGTCGCCACTAGCGTCGTCATCCTGACCGGCCCGGGAGGCGTCCTTCTTCTTCTTTGCTCGCTCCTTGGTCTTGCGAATGTTGACCACCAGCTTCTTGTCCGACTCGGGGCAGTTCTGGTGGATAAGTTCGAAGCCAAAGCGACGGACCATTCTCTCCAGGATATGCTTGACCTTGGCCTTGAAGTGGCCCTTGTGCTCGTTGCTCCATACTATCAAGTTGGGCACCAGGGTAGACAGGCGAGGGATCATGAGCTCGACGGGCAAGCTGATGACGCACACCTTGACGAAGCCCAAGCAGCTCTTGACGATTTCCCTGTTGTTCGACGTCAAGAAGAGGTCCATGGTCTGGACCAGGTCGGCGAGAGTCTGCTCGCTGAGGCTGGAGCGGAACTCGTAGAGAAGGCGGCTGATGGCAGTGATGGAGGCGGAGATCATGTGGGGAGTGCTTCCAGCCAGACCTGCGCTGACCATGGTGAAGAACTCCTCGATGTTGGCCTTGCCCGCGGGAGCGTCGGCGGGCATGTGAGGCACCTTGCTGTTGTCAATTGTGGCGCCGTTGGCGGCGATCATGCGATGACCCATCTGGACCAGCAACTCATAGGCAGTCTCGCGCGCGCGCTCGTTGTTCTCCTTGCAGCAAATGACGACCTCACTAAGGACCGAGGGGATGAAGTGGAGAGAGCTGTCGGGGATAAAAGGGAGGAGAGCGAGAATGGCAGCCAATCGCTCACGTCGAGCGGGAGCAGACACCTTCTCGGAGGAGGAGAGAATGAGCTGCTGTAACTCAGCGGTCCTCTCCTGCATGGCGACCTTGCCAAGTTCAGAGTCGGCCAGCCGGGGAATCAGCTTGTAGGCCTTCTTTTGCAGCTGAGGCTCGTCGTCCTTGAAGATGATGACATTCGCAATCTCGAACAAGGAGGCAAAGCTTTCGCGCGGAAGATAGGCGGACATGGTAATGACGAGATCCATGAGCGTCTGCGACGTTGACGGCATATGATCCTCCGATTTCTGTTGCTTACCCTTCTTCTCGACGGGGGCGCTGTTTTGCAGTTCCGAGGCGAGCATTTTGCTGACACGGTCGAAGGTGTCAATGACTTCCTGATGGGGCGTGATGCTCAGGAAGGCATTGATGGTCTGGAGAATGGGGCCACGGCTCTGCGGGAGAGTTTGCGTGTAGACGTTGAACATGACTGCCAGCATGTTCCCGGCGAACTGGCCCAGATATGCCAGGTTGCTCTTGGCAGCATCCCTGGATACCCTGCTCTGCAGCAGAAAGTCATCCTCGTCCTCGCCGATGCTGGCAATCGCCTGGTTCGACTCAATCAGGACCTTGAGAGCCCGGCAAACGTCCAATCGCAGGTTGACCTGCTTGTACAGGAGATTCGCGAGCATCTCAGCAAAGGACTGGTCGAAAGCCTCGGGTAGGTCGAGAGGCAGGTCGCAGTATCCAGGCAGGATAGACCATGTCTGTTGCACCAGCGTCTCGTAAATCTTGATTTCCATCGTCTTCTCGGCTTCTCCGTGGTCCAGGACCTTCTGGAACATCAACTCGCTGAGAGGGACCATCTCCTTCTTGAAATGGGCGAGGTTGGTGTTGCTGGTGTAGTCTCGCAGAATAGGGAACATCCAGGCGCGCCCATTTTGTCCCTTGACCGGCTTGACGATGTTGAGGGGCAGGACAGACAGGACAGCCTCAGGTCCCATTGCCTGGACCGCCTGGCCAATGACCTCGTCCGCCTCCTTCTTCTTGTGAAACGAAGGGTTCTCGCGGATCTCGCCGATGGTGCGTGTAATGTTGAGCATTCTCGGATAGGACTGCCATCTCAGAGAGGTGAACATGGCACCCATGACATTGAACGTCTGCAGCCAGGCGGCCTGGAACTGGACGGTAAGCAGGGACTCGGCCGTCTTGACGACCTTGTCCAGAATCTTTTCGTCGTATATTGACGGCTCGACAATGACTTGCTGCGGGACGCAGTTGGCCATGAACGAGACGAGGCACTCGGAGGCGGAAATGCGAATGTTTTCGGAGTGCGACTCGAGGAATTGCGCAACCATTGCGAACAGCTCGGGGAGCTTCTGGAAAGTCTCGTCAGGCTCAACCTGCGCAGAGACGTCGAATCCGCGAGAAAGAATGGCAAGCCAAGGAGGCACAAGCTGTGTGTCGTTGGCGGCCGGTCGCAGCTCAGAGATGATCTCCATTAGTCGCGGCAGCTTCGCGGATGAGACCTCGTAGGACATGCCCTCGAAGATCATCTCGAAAATCTCGAAGCCAGCCATGGTCATGTACTCGTTGCCCGTCTTGGCGATGCTCAACAGCAGCTCGCACAGCGATTCGATCTTGGTGCTCGGCCAGCCACCGCTCGCCGCAGCGACGGTCTTTACCAGCTGCAGGGCGTGGATCAATGCCGGGTCGTGTGTCGTGGCAGCCAGCTTCTTGCCCTTGCGGGCCTGCGCCGCCTTGCCAGCCAGGTCCTCGAGGTTCTTGAGCGCCGTGCCGGCGCACATGTCCGCGGCGGGGTGATCGAGCGAGGGGCTCGGCGGCGGGTTCTTGAGGACCCTCTTGAGGGCGTCCTGGGCGCGCTTGCGCACCTTGGGGCGGGGGTCGAGCGAGAGGTTGAGGAGGCCTGCGACGGCGCGGCGGGGGCCGATCTGCGTGACGCCGAGCTCCCACGAGGGCGCATCCTGGGCGAGGAGGAGGGACTCGAGGCAGCCGATGGAGGTGCGGAGGAGTATGGGCTCGGCATCCTGCATCAGCAGCACGGGCGCGAGCAGGGTCAGGATCTGTGTGAACTTGGAGCGCAGCAGCGGCTGCGGGGCGAAGGGCGTGACGACGTCGAGGAGATAGACAACCGGGGTCGCCAGCTCGATGTTGACGGTGCCATTGGCGTTGGCCTGCTGCAGGAGGGCGAGCAGGGCGGCGAAGTAGCCGGTCGGCGTGGGCGCAGTGTTTTGCTCCTTCAGGGTCGATTCGACGGCCTGGAGGACGACGACTGTCTGCGATCACAAAAATAAGGTCAGTGACGGGGATCGCGGAGGAATCATCAGAGCTCCGCTGGGCGTACCCTTTGTTGGCTCTGAAGCCCGGGGGACTTGATCTTGTCCAACTTCTCAGCCAGAGTCGGCGTGGGCGTCGCCATCTTGTCGTGTCCTGTGCGCCGGGCTGAGGAAGTACGGTGAGAGAGACGACAAGACACAGTCGGACCAAGTTCCACCACCCAGAAAAGAGTGCGTCGTCGTCGGTCAAAAAAAAATTCCTTATCGGCTGGTAGGCGGCGGGGGTTCTGTCCCGATAAGATTTCCAGGTTAGTGCGGTCCCGTCTCAGTGGAGGTGTGTTAACAGGGACCACCGCGACCGTCAGTGGTGGAGTCGCCGCTGTCCACTGAATGCCACCGGCGGTCAACTGCAGCAGCTCACTGTAGGTATCAGTGGATGCCCGTAGCGCGCGCATCGCTGTATCCGAGCGCCTACGTAACGCCCGTCCCTCCCAAGCTGGTGCTGACGTCCGTCCGCTGAGGAGGCGGCGAGACGGAGCTCCTGGCACCAGGTTCCGCGCAGAGGGGCATGACGCCGCCATCATCGGAGCCGCATTGAGCTTCAAGCAACACCCCCTTGGGCCACCAATTCCCCGTCGTCCTCCATCTGGTCGCGTCGCGCGCGAAGCCAGATAGATAGATCGCAACCATGGCGTTCCTCATCCTCGTCATCGGGGACATGCACATCCCAGACCGCGCGCTGGACATCCCCCCCAAGGTGCGCGCGCCCCCAAGTTCCGCCTCGCTCACCACCGACTCCCCACACCCGATCCATGGCACGAGGGCCTCCGTTGCGATTGACCACCTCCTTATGCCTCCGCGCAGACTGACTGACTTTTCTCGCCACCTGCAGTTCAAGAAGCTCCTCGCGCCCGGCAAGATCGGCCAGACGCTCTGCCTCGGCAACCTCACGGACAAGCACACGTACGACTACCTCCGCTCCGTCGCGCCGGACCTCAAGATCGTCAAGGGCCGGTACGACGTCGAGGCGACGTCGCTGCCGCTCACGCAGGTCGTCACCCACGGCGGCATCCGCATCGGCTTCCTCGAGGGCTTCACCCTCGTCTCCAGCGAGCCCGACCTGCTCCTCGCCGAGGCCAACCGCCTCGACGTCGACGTCCTCTGCTGGGGCGGCACCCACCGCTTCGACGCCTTCGAGTACATGGACAAGTTCTTCGTCAACCCCGGCAGCGCCACCGGTGCCTTTGTCAACGGCTGGGCCGCCCAGGACGGCGAGAACCCTACCCCGAGCTTCTGCCTGATGGATGTATGTTTGCGCCTGCGCCTGCGTTGCGAGCTGCGATGCGCAGCCCCGTCCATGGTGAAGGGAGGGTCAACTCAACTGACGGCGTGCTCTAGGTCCAAGGAATATCACTTACGCTCTACGTGTACCAGCTGCGGACGGATGACAAGGGCAACGAGAACGTGGCGGTGGAGAAGGTCACATACACGAAGCCGGTCGAGCCGACGGGCGGCCCCTCGTCATCATGATGCCGCTCTTCACGGAAAAGATTTACAGCAAAGGGGGCAAATAGCGACAATAATTCCTGGCATCAAGTCGATACCCGCATTCATCCAGATCCTGCATCAGTCTCGCCATGTGAACGCGGTGAGGCGCGACCCTTCCTCGCGCCCAGTGGGCAGATCATTGGACCGTGTGTGTTCCAAAGGCAGTGTCCCGTGCACGTTAAACTCGAAGGCCAGGCATGGACAAAAGAGTCAAATAAACATAAAATATCTCCGCCGCTTGGTATCTCAAACATCATCCGAAGCTCAATGTGCGTCGCCCAACCATGTGCAAATCCCGATTCGCCATTGCAGCCAATCTACCGTGAAACGCCCGTTGCTTCGTTATGATACTTGCCGCCACTCCGTCGGGCGCAGATCCATCAGTCATTACACCATCATGCTTCTTCTTCTTGAAGAAGTCCGGCTCTTGTCACCGTCGGTGGCCGACGACGCACGTCGCGTGGACGTCGTTTGCCGCCGGCTGGACCGCTTCTGCTCCACAGCCTCGTCCTCCTTGTCAACTTGGGGCGACGAACTCGTAAACTCGTAGATGTCGGCGTCGCCCGAGCCGCTCGTGTCTGTGCTAGTGTCCGCTTCCCTCGGCTTGTCCGATAGGCTGCTGTCAGCCTCATCGGGCATCTCAGTCGCCTTTGCCGTTGCGGACGATGGTCGACGCCGCCTCTCCGTGGCGACGGAAGCGGGCAGCTCTTGAGGGGATGAGGTCTTGTTGGCCAAAGGGCTTTCTGGCATCCTGCCGGGCTCAGCTTCGGCGGCTTGCGGGTTCGCGCTGAGCAATTTCGCCCCGGATCCGTTGATGTCCGACTCGCGCTTCAGCTTGTCCAACGGCTCAGCTTGGCTGCTCCGTCGCGCGTATTTGCCCTCTCCTGCAACTGCGTCAAACAGCTCCTTTGTCGGCCGCCGCATCTTATCCCTCAAGTTCGGCTCGGCATAGCTGACTGCCGTCCTGTTCCGCCTGCTCGGTCGCGACATCTCGCCCTTGGACGAAATGTCCAGCGGGGGAGGCGTGTCACCCCTATGGCCACTGGAATCGGGGGCTGGTTCGGGAGAGTTCGGGGACAGGAGGGCTGGTTCTGCGACTGGTACGCTCAATTCGACGGTTGCTGGAGGCGGCAGTTCAGGTATGGACATGGGTTCAATCTTGACCGCTTCAACCTTGACCTGCGCAGCATTCTTTGTCTTTGCCTTGGATCGTTCTTTCGATGCCTTGGGCTTGACCAGGTCCGCTTTGGCTGCGGCAACCTCGTCGTTCGACAGTTTGGACTTTTTCGGCGAACTAACGTCGTCGTTGGTGCTCTTCGCCGATAGAGGCTTGCGTGTGGTGATGTCGGCAGCCTGCCTCTCGCGAGCCTCCTTTCTGATGTTGGCGAGCTCCTTGAGCGTCTTGCCACCTCCAGCCTTGTCTCGAATTGACTGCTTCTCCGGTCCGGCTCGGAAAGGGCGGTTTTCATCGTTGGTCCTCCGGACTGGTATGTTTTCGCCGTCGTCGGGAGCGGTGAACTTGCGCTTCGACCCAGCCTTAATGGGTACAGAGGCGGTAGTATCGCTGGCCTGTGGCCGGAGTTGCGGCGGAATGGTGGGCTCGACCTTCTTCTCAGGTGAAGGCACTGACGGGTAGAAGGTCTTGTTTGCCTTTGGTGATTCAAGAGATGTCGAGGGAGGAAGTTCGGCCTTCTTTTCGGGGCTAGCCTCTCGTGCCCTTGCTGGAATAGCCTTACTGGGAGAGTCCAGGTTGACCGGGTCTCGATCAATGAATTGAGACCTGGGTGGCGGCCCGAGCTCGGGAGAGTCTGTCGTGTCGGCCTCTTCGACCTCTGACTGGAGGGCGAGGATTTGTTCGTGGCTACACCTTGGTCAGCGCCGTTTACTGTCGCGAAGATGGGGCTGTGGTACTTCATGGATTTGCGAGGGTAGGACTTGGCTTCAGCAATGTGTCCCAGCTCTTCAATATCCCGAGCTACCTCACGCAATCTTCTTTGAGATGGGCTCGGACGACTCCCACTGAAGCTCATGCGGGATCTAGCTGTTTTCCTCACGCGCGGCGAGTGCTTCTTCATGGGCGGCTCGAGGCCGAGGCCCGCCAAGAGGGTGCCCCATTCGGTGAGCTGCGACTCGAGCTTGTGCTTGATTGCCAAAGCATGGTCGGCTATCCGGCGGGAGTCGTTGTCTTCGACTTGCTTTTCGAGCTCGAGGATGCGGCCACGGAGCTCGAGGTTCTCGGAGAGCATGCAGGCGCACTCGTTTTCCAGCTCGCGGATGCGCAGAGCGCGGATGTTGTTCGACTTGGCGAGGTCTCTGTTCTGGCGGAGGAACTTCTTGCGAACTGGCAGCTCAAGGTCAGAGGGAGGCATTCCACGATAACTGCGCAGCGCACGGGGAGGGGGGCATACGCGTCTCAATGCTGTCCGAAGACACCGGGGGTTCGTTGAGTCTAGCCATAGCTCATCATGTGCGGTGATGCCTGATATCGCTGCGTGCTGTGGTCGTGTATGGATGGTTAGTAGCCGCGGGAGGGAGCGCGAGGTGATGTCGATGCAAGGCCCAAGGCGCGACTCGACCCGCATGAATTGATGACCACAGTGGCGGGCGGGCGGACGCTGGAGGGCGATAATTTCTTGGGGTGTCATTATTTACGTTTGGCCTGTTGTGGTTTAGCGCGGGTTGGAATGGCGTGCAGAGCTGGTTGCCGGGGCGCTGGAAACACTGGAGCCCGCCAAACCGGCCAATGCACGTGTGCCCAGCTGGTCAGGTCAGGCACAGCTTCCAGTGACTTTCAGTGGAGCAGGGCCTGCTTCAGGTGCCTTCCATGGGCCTTTCCACACACGTGAGAGGGGCTCGGGGAGCTCGACCCCACCAGCCCAGAAGGGACGCGCCGACAGCTCCAAAGCTCTTTGCAAGTTCACCGACTCGCGCAGAGCAGAGCTCCAAAGGCCCGACAATCGACTACGCAGTTCCCGACCGAACATGTCATACCCAACGCGATCTCTGTCGACGCATATGCGCGGCCCCAGCGTGTCGGCGTCGACCGCATCGCAGTCACCGGCGCTGGTCGCCCGCATCGAGGAGAAGAGGGCCGAGCTGGAGCATCTCAAGGAGCTCCGGGACCTGAGCGCGGCCGTGGCGACGCAGATGGAGGCGCTGGAGCAAAAGGTTTCGACGCTCTCGGACGGGACAGAGGGTATGTCTCTCGGAACAAATGCATGCATGCGTGGATATCCGGACACTGATGGGCGTCGGCAGCTATTGCGACGGTGATGGGCAACTGGCATAATGTGCTGCGCGCCATCAACATGGCCTCGTGTACGTTGGTGGACTGCTTGCACGTTGAGACGCAGAACAAGACTGACAGGCGCACAGCAAAACTTGCGAAGCCAGCCAACGACGCCGATGGCGAACCGACGGACCAACTGCCGCAGACGCTGGTCCGGATCCCGACGGAGCATGCGCCGACGCTCCAAGCGCAAGCCGAGGCGGCAGAGGCTGCGGCCGCCGAAGACGAGTCGGCACCGGCTACAACATGATGGCCAGACGGACACACGACAGAGACGGGCTGAGAACTCGCGGCTGAGTCCAGTGTCTATCTACACGCTCGCCGTGGCCCCGACGCAGAGGTCTCGCTTCATAGGCGGGGTCGCAGGCGGGTGTCTCGCAAATGCCGCCCAAGAGACCGGGGCGCATGTGGCAAGCCAAGCGGCTCAAGATGGGATTGGCATCGAGGGTACGAAGTATTGGGCTGCTGCACAACTTGCACTGCGAGCCACCGCTCCGTACGTACGCATTGCGCCAAGAGCTGTCATTAGTGCGCCGTCGCTGTTCCGCATGAACGTATGAGAATGCGGGGCGGAAACGCGAGACGCGTCGAGGCGCGTTGCTACAGGCGGAAGCGCAGCCACTAGCCGTGGCAGCCGCACCGGTCAGCAAACAAGAAGAAAGACAAGCACGCCTTGCGGCGGCGGCGCCTGCTGCAGAAAACCGTTGGGCAGTCGCACGAGGTATTGGCGGCGGGGGTGACGCTGTTCAGTACGTAAGGTAGCAGGTTCAATTCACTCGGAGGGGAAAGAAGAAATTGAGCAGCTCAATGCCTTTTCGTCCCCTCCACTCCAACAGCCTTGGCCGTGTCCCCATCATCCTCATTGTCAACACTGCAAACAAAACAAACACACAATACAACACAACACAACAGAGCTGCCGCCGGTCCCCCCATCCGTCACGCCCGCCCTCCCGCTATCGCTACTCTCTCTCGCGCGCGCTCTGTGTAGCAGCAGTACTCGTACTGGTAATTAATTACCGTTCGAATCACCCTCTACCTGCCATCCCGTCCCCCGCGAGCTCCAGAGTAATTTATCCACTGTTACCCATCGGCCGTTTCCACGCGTTTGCATCGATCCCTGCTGTGCCCCCCGGACACATACCGCGAAATTAGCTGCCCAACCGCCTGGCCGGATTCGACGCCATCCAGACCCCTGATCGTCAAATTACCTTCAAGGGGTCCCCCCCGTCAGGCACCGCACCGCACCGCACCGCTCTGGACTGCGTGGGCATGGGCCATATTGCTCCCGTCGCCGGGGTCGTGGTCGGGGTCGGAGTCGGGGTCGCACAGACGGCGCCCCTGGCCGGCACTTTCGACATCCTCGAGGACGAGGCCCTCGTCTCCTTGGGCTCCCCCTCGCCGCCACCACCACAGCAGGAACAAAGCCTAACCGCGAGGGACGTGCTTGAGGAGCTTTCAGTTAAGCACAGACTGAACAAGCTTTCGGCCCTTACCGCCATCCACACGTCGAAGCCGACAAACGCACTTGCCTCTGAAGCGACGACTCATTCTCCCGAGGTCAAGCCTCAGAGCAAGCCCGCCTGGCGAGTGGCATCTCGCAACCGTCGCCCCCAAATTGAGTCGGAGACGTTTGAGCCGCTTGATGCGGTGATTGAAGAGCCGAGCTCGCTTCAGGAAATCGAAGCACCTGAGACGCCACCGTCTGAGCACGCCCAAGAGCTCTCACACGAGCCTATTGTCAAAGGTCAGCCTCATCTTACTCCCAAGTCGAGACGAGTCCGCTAAGTGGCCTCAGCAGATATCCCACCCCAAAAAGTTCATCCACTGGAGGCACTGGACTCTGATCCCGACATCCGGGAGCAGGTCGAGAAGCACCTGGCAGGTCAGTTTGAGTGTCTGGTCACATACCCATATCCGGCAGCAGAAGGGCTCGCAGAGAACCGTGGACCGACTCACGACAGCGCCGTCGTCCGAGTCCCGTCGGGAAGCACGGTCTACGGCTGCACCTTTCTGCGCCGAATCTTCCATCCTTGCTCCGACGAGCACGCCACCTCGGGACATGGTTTCACTGACGGCTATCGCCTCCTAGCCACACCACTGAAAGCAGATGCATACTTCGTCCTAGGCGAAATGGACGGATCCGAGCAAGGAGTCATGGTGAGCGTCACTGAGCCACCGCCATATCCCGGTGGCCCGCTCAAGGTCCCCGAGGTCGTGACCACGGTGAAGCAGGCGCTGTCGCCGTCTCCCTCCATCATCAGCGACCAAAGTGGCAGTATCGGCGACAGGTCGTCCCGGGCTGGGTCATTCTCGCTGCCGCGCATTGAAGACTCACTGGAGGAGCTCGATAAGCTGGAAGAGGAGCTGGAGGCCGTCAACGAGGCCGCCCTCTCTCGTCCTGTTCCGGTGCCTCAGGATGTCTCTGAGCCCGCCAAAGCGTCTCCCAAAACTCCGTCCACACGCGGAACCCCGACCGCGCAGGAGCGTCCAAAAGTTCCCGCGCAGTCAGCCACGGTCCGCGTCAAGCGAACCGTCAATGCGAGACCATCCCTCCGACGGGTTGCATCTCTAACCCTTCGCGAAAAGAAACCGGATGGCCCAGACCCTGCCGCGGAGCAAAAGGCGGCAGGCCCATTGACGACCCGAGTCAAGCCAGGCATCACACGTCCAGGAGCACCGACGGTCAAGACGCCCGTCAAGTCCACCAAGCCGCCTACGGTACCCAAGTTTGAGCTCCCAGGAGAGGCAGTTGCGCGGCGTCTGAAGGAGCAGCGGGATGCGCGCGAGGCCAAGCAGGCCGAGGCGCAAAAGGCTCCTCCTGCCGCACCCACGAGGACCAGAATTAACAGACCACTGGCCAAGCCGACGTTTGAGCTTCCAGGTGAGGCAATCTCCCGTCGCAAAAGGGAAGAGCGCGAGGCGAAGCTCAAGGCAGAGGCGGAAGAGGAGCGCAAGAAGCGCGAGTTCAAGGCGCGCCCAGTGCGTCACAGCATTGGTCCCGCGACGCTGCCTCGGGCGACGCTGGCGAGCCTTGCCCGGCAAAACAAGACGTCGCAGGACGACGCAGAGGAGAAGAGAGCCGAAGCGGGCAAGCTCAAGCGCATGTCCATGGGCATGGTGCGTCCCGGAACAGCCACGTCTACGAGCTCGCAGTCGCCGCAGCCACGCGGAAGAAACTCAACGGCGGCCATGCCGGAGAACTCGAGCCGGACGACATCGGCTTCCACGGGCAGGAGCAAGCGGAGCACACTATCGGCCGAGGAACTGGAGCAGCAGAGACTCCGGGGCAAGGAGATCCTGGAGAGGGACAGCATCCTCGCCAAGGACAAGGAACGGGACCGGCGCGAGAGGGAAGTAAAGGCGAAGACGGCACGGGAGGAGGCTGCTGAGCGCTCTAGAATCGCGAGTCGGGAGTGGGCCGAGAAGAAGCGGCGTAGGGAGGCGGCTACAAAGGCCAAGGAGGCGTGAGGGTGATGAGGATGGTGAAGGAAACATTTCTGGTGTCTGGTCGGGTCTGTTTACGGGATTCTAGCACAAGCACGGCGTCGGCGCGGGCTGCAACTGCAGAGCATTGTTTGGTTGTCGTACGAGTAGTGTATGTTTAGCTGTTTGAGAGCCTCGGCATGGCTGCGCGTACACGCGGCGTTGGCAGTATGGAGTAATTCGATGCATTTGGACCATGCAGGGCGTGTGTAACTCTAATATCTCGGCGCTTGTTCTGAGAGCCGGCTTGGTTGGCCAGCTCTCCACCTGCATACAACCACTTCGGTCTTATACCGACAACGCGCGCCAGGAGTGAGCGCATCCAACTTTGTCACTTTGTAAATATCCCGCCTTTCCTTCAAGGTGACTCTAGCACTGAAACTCACACAGAGCACAGAAATCACGACGGAGAAGCGAACCATGGCCACGGCCGCCACCGCTGACGCACACTCGGTCGCCGTCGCCGTCAACGGCGGCACCGTCCTGGGCAGGCGCCAGCCCGCGTCGGAAGACTACCCCCGGGCGCTGGACATCTTCTACGGCGTGCCGTACGCGGCGGCGGAGCGGTTCCGTCGCGCGGTGGCGGTGCCGCCGGTGAGGCGGGGGGAGACGCTGGATGCGCGGGACGAGGGGCGGGGAGAGGGCACGCCGTGTCCGGGAGGGGAGGGGAGGGTGGAGGAGAGCCCGCTGAGGCTGAATATCTTTCGGCCGGCTGCTTTTGATGGTGCTTCGGGTTCTTCTGTTGCTGCTGGCGCTGCTGCTGGTGCTGCGGGTGTTGGTGTCGAACGTGATGGTGGAGGCGATGGAGCGGCCGAGGATGAGACGAAGAAGAAGAACAAGCCGCGGCGGCGGCTGCTCCCAGTGCTGGTGTACATCCACGGCGGGGGGTTCAACTTTGGCAGCCCGCTGGAGAGGGACCTGGGGGCCATGGTGGCGTGGGCGCCGCGCGGGGTGCTCGTCGTGAGCGTGTCGTACCGGCTGGGCGCGCTGGGGTTCCTGGGGGGCGGCGGTGACGGCGGCGGCGGCGATGGCGATGCTGCTGTTGAGTTGAACCTCGGGCTGAGGGACCAGCGTCTCGCGGTGCGGTGGGTGGCGGATTGGATAGGTGCGTTCGGGGGGCAGGGACGGGAGGGGGTGACGCTCATGGGCGTGAGCGCGGGTGCGCACTCGGTGAGTCTGAGTCTTGAGTCTTGGGATGATGTCTTCACGATGGTTGGCATATGTCGTAACCTCCCCCCGTTTCTTACCCGCGGGACGATGACGATGCTCATGGAAAGAGGCAGACGCGACGCCATGCTCGAGTGAACTGAGGGCAGAGAGAGCAGAGAGCTGACGCCGCCTCGCAGATCGGACACCACATGCTGTCCCCCGCGCCGCTCCCCTCACACCACAGGTCCATCCTCGAGTCGGGCTCGCCCACCGCGCGCTCCGTCCTCTCGGCGCGGCATGCGCGTCCCGCCGCGCAGCTCGCCTCGCTTAAGAGGCACGCCGTCGCCGCAGCAGCAGGACGACGGAGGCAACAGCGTGCGGTGGCGGCAAAGGAGGTGGTAGACCTGTCGACGCTGCCGCTCGACGACCTTCTCGGCGCGGCCGTGACCGTCTTCGGGGAGAACATGGCGTCGGTGTGCTGGCCGTTTCAGCCCGTCGTTGAGGACACTGACATATCACGACGCCGGCCAAACTCCACGAAAAGGGACAGCGGCGACGATGATAATGATGACGATGATGCTATCATCCCCGACACGCCGCTCCGGCTCTGGGACCGGCTCCTCCTCGTCCGCCCGGACTCCCCCTCCCCCTCCCGGGACGCACGCCGGAAGCCGCCGGGCCCGATCATCACGGGCTTCTGCTCGCACGAAGGCACCCCCTTTGTGCCCACCCGCGCCGCCACAAACGACGCCTTCCTGTCCTTCTTCACGACGCTCATCCCGGGCCTCACCGCAGATGACCTCGCCGCCCTGCAGCGCCTGTACCCAGACCCCGTCGGCGCCTCCCCTTCCTCCTCCTCCCCCTCGTCGTCACTGTCAAAGCTATACGCCAACCCGCCCGGCTGCCCTCACGCCGCGCAGTACACCCGCCTGCAGGCCGCGTACGCGCACTACGCCTACATCTGCCCCGTGCTGCACACCGCCCGCGCCGCGTCCCTCTCCGCCTCCCGCGGCGGCGGGCCCGTATACCTGTACGAGTTCGCCGCGCTGGCCGGCGACGATCCCTCCTCCGCCGCCGCCGCTTCCCACGGCGACAGCTCCGCCGTCGTGGCGCACGACCCCGCGCACCTGCGCTCCCGCCCGGGCCTGCGCGCCGTAGCCGACGCCATGAACGCGCGGTGGATGGCCTTTGCGGCGTCGCCCGACGGGCTGTTCGACTCCTCCGCCGCCGACACGGAAGAGGAGGGGGGAAAGGGGGACGAAGGGAAAGAGGAGGAAGACGACGAGGTCAAGGGCCTGGCGTGGCCGCGCTTCGAAAGCCCCTTTGACGTCGTGGACCGCGCCTCGGGCAGGCGGGGCTCCGGCCGGCTGCTCGTCTTCGGCGAGGGCAACGACGAGGCCGCGGGCGGGCGCGCAAGGGGCACGCCCGTGCGCGTGCGGACGCTGACGGAGCGGGAGATGGAGCAGTGCCGCTTCTGGTGGGACAGGATGGCGCTGAGCCAGGGCATGGGCGAGAGAGAGAGGAACGGCATGTAACATAGTAGTTAGTTGGCCCTGGGCGAGTCACGAGCATGGAGAGACTTGCCAGCTACGAAGGGCCAAGTTCGGTATGTTGTTGGCAAGTATCCATTGGCCTGCCCATGTCGAGCCAACTTCACTTACATCACTTCACGGACTTGGATCAGGTGCCCACGTTACGTTCATCAAAGCGCTTCAACTATTCATCTAAATTGCTCCAGCCTGCCCGTATATACCATGTGCAGAGCGCATGTCGCTCGTCGCTGCCTTTGCCCCGTATCAACATCCGGCTCCCACATCCCCTGGCCCTCATTGTCGCAGAGAAAGATGCTGAATGAGAGCTATGTCCTCCATAGATATTAATCAACCCCGCAGGGCCGGCGCTGTGCCGGCCCGCGTTCATCCTCTGCTCGCAAGGGGCTTCCAACGGCAACGAATGCTCAAAGTCGCTATGCCGATGCCGTATATACATATCCCGCTGGGTTGCTCTCCTGCAACCGCATCTCTCCGCTGAGAGTATCCTCCTGCGCTTTGGATAGTAATGTCTGTCGACGCGTTGCCGACATGCGTAAAGTGTCAAAGAACCCAACAATAAACGAGGTATGCGCCAAGCCACCAACGCCGGTCAAAGTTGCCCATCTTCCAGTTTTGTTCTCGCAAGGTCCCAAGCCCAAGCGGGGTATCGTGCACCTCAAATCCAACCACTCACTGCATACTCAGATATATCTTGACGTTGACAGCGCACTTAGAAGTTCTGGGCGATGCCAGCGCTTTGCTGGGGATAGTGCGCTGGGTTCTCGATGCGCGTGTTACGCCGCGCCGGGTTGTCCCTAATCACGGCCTGGCCGGGGAGCTCCTGCGGCCGCTGGTCGCTGTACGGGTTCTGTGCATACTGGTCATAGTAGGCGCCGCCGCCGCCGCCGTTGCCGTACACGCCACCGTCAGACCCTTCCGATCGTCCAGCTGCACTATAGGAGGACGATGCGTTGGAAGGCCCGCGGCGGACGTCTCCTCCACGGTTGTTGGCTGCCGAAGGGCCCATGGCCCCCAAAATCTCCCCGTCAGGCGACGATGAACCGTCAAGGAGGGGCTCGCCGGACCTGGCCTCCGAGTTGGCGACGCGGGTCGGAGATGTGACGTCCGAGTAGGCGCCGCCCGGCATGCCACCAGACATGGTCGTCGACGCCTTGCGCCCGGTAGAGCCAGCCGCAGTGGTCGATCCCCAACCACGATAGCCCGACCCGCCGTCCTCCCGCATCTCATACGAATTGTCGGCGGCGAGGCCAACGGCGGGGATCGTGGGGTCGGCATTGGGGTTGTAGGCATAGTCTTCGACCTCCTTGCGGCGCTGCTCCTCGGCCTCCTGACGAGCTCTCCGCTTCTTCCACCAGAACAGCCCAAGGATGGCCAGAATGGCAATGGCGGCGATGGGAACGACGACGCCAATGGCCACCTTGGACCCCTGGCTCAGTCCTCCGCTCCCGCTGCCAGCCTGGTCATTGGGCGTGGGTGTCGAGGTCGAGCTGGTAGTCGCAGACGGCGACGAAGACGACGGGAGCGGCGTGGTGGTGCGGATGACGGTCGTAACAGCCGTAGAGGTCGTGGACGGCGTCTCCGTCACCACAGTCGTCGGAGGGAGGGATGTCGTTGGTTCCGGGGTGGAACTGCTCGACGTCGTCGGGGGCGTAGACGAGGTGATGGGCGTCGACGATGTCGTGGGAGGTGGTGTCGACGACGTCGTCGGAGGAGGCGTCGAGGAGGTGGTCGGGGGAGTCGATGAGCTCGACGGAGTCGTCGGGGTGGGCGTGGACGACGTGGTTGGCGGCGTTGGCGACGGAGAGCTGCTGCTGGGCGTTGGTGGAGTCGTGGGCTGCTGAGGAGTGCTCTGCGTCGGCACGGGAGTCGTCGGCGTGACGGCCGGAGGGGCCGTACCACCAGTCACGTTCGACATGGCGACGTCGTCTGGCTGGTTCGCACGGGGAAAGAATCTATCGGCGAGATGAAGGTCAGCGCGACGATCGAGGACATGATGAAGGGCACTTTTTTTGCAAGTTTATTTTGGTACAGTGGCAGTGCACCTCGGGCGTACAGGAGCTGAAGAGGTCGGTCGTGCAGCGACGCCATGTACCGCCGGTGGTCCGCGACGTCGTGCAGGAAAGACACTTGGCGCAGGCGCTCAATGATGCGCCCGTCCGTCGCTCAATGCAGCGCTGTGGGACTGGCAAGAGGCCAGAAAGGGAAACAGGCATATGCGCGGCAGAGCGTCGTCGGCGCTGACGATGCGGTGCGCACGAACAATCACATGAGGCGCAACGGAGACAGAGACCCACGTACCAGCTGAGAAAGGAGTGCTGCGGCAGCGCCTCGACAACGAATCGATAGGATTCGATTGTCGCAGGGCGTCTGGAGTGACCGGTCGAGAGGCGCTTCGCAAATCGGCTCGACCGGGGGTGACGAAGCAGCGTCGAAGGCTTGAGGAAGAGAAGGACGGGCGGCAGCAGACGAAGGGGACAGGAGAACTGTCGTGTTATGTCGGGGGACCTAAACAATGAGGAAACGGCGGGTTGCCGTTGGCTGGAGGGGCCAATGGAGCGATGTCAGCTCTGGCCTGCTGCAGAGGCGTGTTGGTTTGGGGCGGGTGAGCACAAACCTGAGTTGTGATGCAAAGGTTATCTCGGGTCTCGCGGGGGACCGGGGGGCCAGGGAATGAGGCCAATGTGCGGTTGAGAGACGAGACACACTGGGTCCTACAGGCGCGCAACGGGAGAGGCGCCGCGAGGAGCGATTGGACGACGACGTCGCAGCGCGCGGCAGTGAGCGTGATGGCGACAGTGACACGAGTGTGCGAGAAGAGGCCTCGGAGAGCGGAGAGGCACGCAACAATGATTCGGGGGGGCGGCACAGAAAAAGAGAGATTGAGGGAAGACTCTGCTGACGGATACGAGGAAGAAAAGACACTGGCGGCGATGAGTGAGCGTGCGAACGGGCGGGCGCCGGGGGGGAGAAGAGGAACCGGACGTGCGAAAGAGAGGCGAGCGAGAGGGAGCCGCTAGGCCAGGTCAGGCCATGGCCTCGGTCGTGGGGTGGGCTTGGCCTTGCGAGGAAGGAAGAAGGATGGTGTGGATAGACGGACGGGTGGACGGACGGGTGGACGGTGGACGGTTGGAGGCACAGCGCAGCGGTGCCGTGCGGTGGCATGGGATGGATGGATCCCCCCCATCCCGCCTCCCTGCCAGCAAGCGGCACGAATTACAGTGAGTGATTGGCAGGCCCCAGTGTTGCTTGCGTCCAGAGCTGGAGAGAGGCCCCAGCAACCGAGCCCAGCCCGACCAGCCAGCCCCAGCCCGGCCAGCCCAAGCCAGCCCACCCCAGCGTGACAGCCCAGCAGCGTCGTCGGGCTGCTTCCTGGGCGGGTGGCACCCCAGGCGGCGTCCGGCGGCGCTCCTCTCGTCAGCGGCCGTGGCAGCGGTGGCCAGTGCGTTTTGCTTCAGCTCCGTCCCAAAGAGGGCGGGCTCCCTCGTCATGTGAAATGCGAGGTGGCATACTTGATGTATGCGCGTCGGGGCGAAACGAACAACTGTGCGAACCGCACGCACCCAACAATAGGTATCTCGTACAGCACTTCCCACAGGTTCCATCGATTCGATGTTAGCCGACTTGCACCGTAAGCACCCCATTCAACCGCCATCACGGCAATGCACTATTTAGCCTTCTCGCGTCGTCCGCCGTGTCAGTGTCCTGGTCCCAGTTATCCAGGCCAGGACAGGCACGCAGCCGCCAATACACAGAGCGAGCAGAGCACAAAATAAAAACTGGCGACGGCGCATTAAGCTCTGGCTTTGGCCACCCCACCGCGTCGTGGCGCCGTGTCGGGTCAGCACCCAACGTCTAGGCCCTCCACGGTGCGAGGCCGTTCAAGAGACGACGCCTCGGACCGCTGCGGCAGCACCGCTTTGGTAGGCAGGCCGGTGCTCAGTCATGATTGATGACTCCCGTCATCAGTGTCGCCGCCGAGCGCCAGCAGCAGCGGGAGGCCTGATGAGGTCCTGCGTCCCCCCGAGATACGGGCTGGGCCCACTGTTCTTCACTGGGTACCTGTGCTGCGGTCTGCGTGCATTCCAGCGCCAGCCTGGCGAGCCTGGGCAGCCACCTCACAGCATCCCACCCGAACAGCACCAACAGGCAGCCCAGCGAGCGAGCAAAAAATGGGCGGCCCGCTCCCGGATGCTGCGCTGCGCTGCCCATCATCAATGCCCGCCAACCCGCGCCGCCCTGCCGGCCATCCGTTGCAGAGCATGCGCTCAGGCGGGTCCATGACTCCATACCCATCGCATCGTCCACCCATGCTGCAACGGCCCCAGCAACCAGCATCGCCCATCAGCGCTTGTGCGTTTTCAGGCCCACCGCATGCAGACATGGGGACTGACCAAAATGTCCGGCGGCGACTGGTGGAGACGAGCAAGGCCCTTTCCATGCAATGCAATCAATCGCAGCGCACCCAAGGGGGATCCTGCCGGCGGCGACTCGCAAACGCAAAAAAAAGGTGTCTGTCTGACCTCTTCATTTCCCAGCGCCCGGGCGCAATTTCGCCTCTCTGCCCCTACCTTACCCTCGTGGAGAGAGCGGGCGCGTTCTCGATCCCTGCGCCACAGAGACATGGCACCGCCACAGAGAGAGCTTGCCATAGGTAGTGATGACGGATGATGACCACGGGTGGCCGGTGGCGTGCAGCTCGTATCTTGCTTTGGTGGCGGATCCTCTCGTACGGAAGACAGTCAGTCCGGCCCGTTCACTGCCACACACCGTCATCGGACCAAGTAACGTACGGGCTACGGAGTGCCTTTTTGCTATTTTAATCCACCATCCATCGTCCGTCGCTGCTGCTTCGTTCCGGAAGGGGGACCCAGCCATCGGCCCGTCATCGTCATGCGCGCGGCTCTGCATCCGCCACGCAGAAGCAAATAACCCAAACGCCGAGGGGACCATAGGGCAGGGCCAGGGCCAGTGAATGGCGACTGAACGAATTGTTTTGACCTGACCTGACGCGCCAGGGATCCCACCCCAGGCACACACGACACACGTCTCTGCCTCCCTGCTGGCTTGCCTCGAGGCATCCCGAGACACGCTTCTGTCTCACGCCATGTCGTTCTCCTTAATCCGCAAGTCGGACACCCTACCTTCGTACCGAGTAGTAGTAGTAATGGAAAGGTACAGCACCGACATGTAACGTGCCAATCTCTGGCTGACGTGTTAAGGTGGCAGTCGACGGACAGGACTTGAAGAGCACTTGGGCTGTCAATGAGATCACGTGACTTGCATTGACAGCAGGCAAGCGTGACACCGTTTTCGACGCATCAACGCCCGGATATGGCACCAATCGTATGCCAAGCAGCCGTTTTGAGTGCTTGGACAAGGCAATCATCTCGCGAGTCTTGTACGTAAAGTTTTCTTGCCCTAGCTTGGCATCTCTCTTCATAAGACCGACACCGTGCTAGACCGCTTTCCTCGACACGACCCTTCCTGCCCGATGGGCAGTCACTGGTGTAAGTGAGCCCCTCGGAAATATCATGACATGCGAAGATTGAATCGGCATCTATGCAATTTGAGATTCGCCGAGGTTGTACAGCACTCGCATTTTCCTTCAAAGTTGCCAAGTCCGAGCATTGATGGCTTTGTGCTCCCGTTATGCTTGCTCCAGCACATGTTACTCAATGCTGCTGGCCTTGGCTGCTACCTAGAAACAGCTGGCTAATCTAGCTTATCATTCCAAAGCCCGAGCATCACTCACCGAGCCGCATGAAGTACATAATATTCTTCAAAATAACCCCATGCAATTCTTCACGTATAGTCCGCCGTCCAGCAACCCCGTCTCGCTGCTATTCCGCATATGCGCCCAATGCACCGCGCACTTGTCTCTCCCATCTGTTCGCACACAATGTGCTTGCCGTTCTTGAACCTCTGCCCGCGTCTGGGGAAGACATGGCCCGCGTGCTCGCCCACGTAGTCTCGCGACGCACCTAGAGCAACGCCATTAGAGGCAAACATCCGGAGACTGAGGTTTGGTGCATACTATGGCTTGCTTGAAGGAGGCGTATACCACAGCCGTATAATTCCTCAGCCAGGCCACGTTCGTAACCTTGAAGGGTTCAAATCTTGAGCCGGCAAGAGCCAGGAGCATGACGAAACGTAGGCCAGATTAGCCGTTCGGCCTCTACATGAGCACAGCACAGCTGCCGCATCACCAATTGCATCTCCTCGAAGCACCCACCTACCCCGCCTGACACAGACGGGAATGGCGACGCAAGAAACAGCTTGTTGAACACCACAAGAGACGCACCCCGGGCCAGATCAGTAACCTACCCTCGGCCCCGGACGCGCAGCTCCCGAAATAACCCACCGTGGTCAGTACTAGAAGATGCGGCTCAAACTGGCCAGTGTAGTTTGGGTCTGCCTCGAATGTGTTGCGCGTCCTGCTGCCGGGCCAAGATCCGACGCCGTCCCCCCTGCCCATGGTATGTCTGACATCTTTGAGTTCATGTTGACGGCCATGCCTATGTTCGTGTCACTGATCCTGGGAGGCGGCGCTGACGACGCCGGGTAACTTACAAGCATGCTGCGGCGTCACAGGCTCGCGGTTTCAACTTCCCGTCTCTGCGTCGTGAGTCGTTTCCATGAACCGTGCGCAGCCCTGTGGTAAATTTGGTGTGCGCCCGACGGTTACTACATCCGTGACACTCCAACCGTGCGCGGCCAGTTACTCAAATAGGCACGCAGCCTTGCTCGTGTCTTCACTTTAGTCGGCTGCGACGTCACACGTAGGTCACGAGCCTCATCACGGCAAGATAGGGGCCGGTTGCTGGTGTTTGTAAGGTGGACACCACCTCCGATTGACTATCTACAAGTCTCATGTATAGCAGGCAGAGCCCCCGATCAAAGATACACCAGAGTCGTCATCGGGGCTTGCCACTGCAAGTTGCCAGTCCCTCTATATGCAAAACCTCGGCTGAAAACCCCACCAGAGCAAGAATGAAAAAAAATGAATAGAAGGCAACAGAGCCCCCGTCATGACCCAATTACTCCATGAAGCCCAAAACGATGCATTTGCTAGCTCGCCAAGGGATCCGATGCAATGCCAAACTTCAAATTGATGCCATCAGCCCGTTCAAGGGCGCATCCCCCACTGCGGCTTGAGCGTGTCTGGCAGCGCCGCCTGGGTGAAGACTGTGTCCCCGGGCAGGCGACTGACACGGCCTGCTCCGCCACGGAGCGCTCCGAGCTGCATCGCCGATATGCCGCTCCTGTTGCTCCGGATGCTGCCAGCGTCACTACTTGTCTCTGCATCCTTGAACTTCTTCGGGGGCGCAAAGTCCAGGTTGGTGAATGTCGACGATTTGCGGAGTAAATGGCTGGCATAACGTTAGCATATCGTCACCGGGGCGTTCTGCACGGCCGAGTCTACTTACGGACTGGGGAGCGCCGGCAGCTCATCGAAAGCCGTGACAAGCGGCGAAGCTACCGGCACCTTTGGCTGATAGGGCCGTCTCTCGCCGAGAGGGCTCTGGCTGCGACCAACGGCACGGTCGCTGAACGACTCAGGAGGCGCAAAGTCGATTGCATTCATCAAGGCAAAGGAGTCGTCCTTGAGCTTGGAGGGTGTGGGCAGCGTGTTCAAAGGTGCAGGGGGCGGCAGGTGCCTCTTGGGTCCGCGTAGTCTGGCCGAGGCCGAAGAGTCGGGTCGCGGGCCGAAGGCGGACCCAGCCCGTGGGCGGCGCGGGCCTCCGGGAAGGCTCATGCCTCCGATTGACCCAGGACCACGAGGTCCTCGGCCGGGCGGTCCTCCAGGGCCCCCTCGGAAACGACCCGGTGCCGGGGGCGGAGTCATGGCTCTTCTCGTGACTGGCTGGGCATAGGGCATGACGAACGTATTATGGTCGGAGTCGTAGTACGCCATGTCTCCCAGGTAGCCGGCATCATAATCCTCATAGTACTCGGCAGCTGGGCCGCCGCCGCGTTGAGTTGGCAAGGGCGGCGGAGCTTCTTTGCTGTCTTCAAAGTATTCCTTGTAAAAGGATCGGATTCGGTTGGCCCGGTACTCGGGGTCCTCGGATTCTGTGACTTCATCCGGAGGGAGCGGGCGGAAGCCTACTGAAAGTCGCTTGGACTGCTGCTGCGGCACGCCTAGGCTCTGCTGTTGGACAGGGTACTCAACGGAAGGTTGCCTCTCCAACCCGCGACCCCGTGCCTCCTCCTCGTACTCGTCGTAGTACTCTGACGTCCGGATCTCGGGGTGATCCGCGTGATCATACGTCTGCGCCTGGCCTGGAGGGTACTCTAGAGCGTGAGCTTCAGTCGCATGGTGGTCGAGAGGCGGCGAGGAGATCTTGGGGAGGTCGAAGTTGAGACCCAGGCCGGAGTCTTGGTCGTGGGACGACGTGAAATGAAGGCCATCGTCAGCCGAGTGGGCGACCCCGATGTTTGTCGGGAGGTGCAGGGAGTCTGATCGGGCGAGGCTTGAGTTGAAATCCGGGGGAGAGTCCCTAGACAACGCCGGCGGCGGCGGCTTGACATCGGGCATGTCGAGGCCACCGTGGGTCTTCTCGTCGGGATATGAGACGGTTCCAATCTCCGGGACAATAGACGGCACCGAGCGAATGGGGTCCTTGATGTCTGTCGTGGCGGGCATCTGATGTGTGGGCTCAGGCTGCGTGGGCGTCGCAAACGGGTTGATCTTGGTGTCATCTGGTGTGGCAGGCGACTTGGGCATCGAGTTCGTGCGGGGCGGGGGCATCATAGGCGCCCCCATCGACCTGCTGGTGATGACGGAGGCGCGCTTGCTGCCACCGTAGGACCTGATGGAGCCAGTCTCGCTGTTGATGTACTCCTTGACCGTCCGGTAAGGATCCGCCTCGGAGCCCACAAAGTTGCGGGCGAGCGACTCTTGCGACTGATGGGCATTGGGAGGCAGCAGGTAGGGCGAGGACAGGTTCATGTCCATGGAGAGCTGGCCGGGCCTGTGAGTCGTCTTTTCACCGCCGAACATGAAGCTCTTGCGTTTGCCGCCCTTTGCAGGGGCTTCGTCGAGACCAAAGTCGAGTCCGACGTTGGGGTCCTTGGCATCCTCCATCCTCAGCCGCCTGACGTTCCTGCGGTGCAGAAAGAGGAGCACGAAAACAGCCACGACGACGGGGATCCTGCTCGCGGATTAGCATTTCAAGTCCACTTCCGTACCCCACAACTGTGAGAATAAGACGGTATAACACGTACACGACGCCAAGGATGATGGCGAGGTTGGTGACGTTCGTGCCGACAGCCTTGTCGCAGTCGCTGCCAATGCAAGCGCTCCGCTTGGCGACCTTGGCGTACGAGTCTGCGGCGGGCGGTTCCAAGCCCACATCGGCTCGGCGATGGTTGATGCGCGGTTGCATGACATATCCTTCACTGACAAAGGTTGCCCGTCCCATGGTTCCGCCGTTCCCGTTCTTTTCGGGTATGAGAGCCATGTTGATGTAGGGCTCCTTTCCCCGTCCTTCCCGTTCCAATCGCCGGTACTCTCGCGCCCAAGAAAAACAATATATCCCTTATTTACTTGAAGATTGAAAGCCAGCGATCATGACCGTGGAGACGCAAGTCGAATGGCAAGGAAATAAATCGTCGTCAAGGCATGGACGGACAGGTGGGTTCGAGTTCGGTGGTCGCTGATCCGGGGGGATGAACGATTGACGGGCGAAACAAGAAACGAAACGACGGCAGGCACGCGTCCTCGAGAGATGGTTGTTGTTTGTCTAAAAGAGCGACGCGCTACTGTGCTGCTGGGCAAGCGGCAAATATTAAGCAACCAAATGAATGACTGGAGGGCGATTAAAGGAGTGACGAGCCTGCTGGCAGGCGAGGTGAAGGGTTCGACGCGAGAAACGCAGTCGTCGAGGGTGAGGAGCGACGATGCGAGAGAGGGAGAGGAGGCCAGGAGTCGAGAGGAGGTGAGCGGGCAGGCGACCCAATCCGGGCAAGCACCAGGCCAAAGGCTGGCAGATTACAGGCGTGGAGCTGTGAAGGGGGGCCTGAAGACAGCGGGAGATGATAGGCCCAGGGCGTCGAAGCTAGCAGCCGGCGGCGGTCGCGGCGAATGAGACAGCGTTGCGGATGTGGCCTCGACAGGGGGGGGAGGGGGACAGGCGGGCTGCGGTTCACACAGGGCCTGCCGATGGAGAAACCTGACCTGGGCTGGGAAGGGAGAGCAGCGTTTGTGTGTTTGTGTGTCAGCGAGAGAGAGCGCGCTCTGCTTGCCGGTCAGGACTCAGGACCCATGCCATGCATCCATGGTCGTCCGTCCGTCAGACAAAGGGAAGGGAAAGTGAAGGACTTTGTGTTAATTTACGGCCAACGGGGGCGGCGGCGTCTGTGTGCTCGCCCGCTCGTCTCGCGAGTCGTGGCTACTCGTACAATACGGAGCAGGACGTGCTTCGTCCTCATACATGTCCAGCACGCACGCACAATGCGAATGCGTCTATTCAGCGGCTTTGTTGTGCAGCAGCAGATCACGCAAGCGCCCTCCGATGGCTGCACGGCACAGACAGGCGGCGGCGACGGCACGACAGGTGCCTGGATCGTAAGCTCCGCACAGCGAGCAAGGGCCATGCGGCGCCTCCGTGACGGGCCCGGCGAGGGCTTTAAAATAGTGCCTCGCGCCTCCAACGTGTTGTTGGTGCTCTGCAGCAAGACGACCAGAACGGCCCTGGAGCGCGCCCTATCGTGGCACAAAACCGGCGTCCAGACCTCCGATGGAAGGTGGTTAGGTTGGCCGCCTGGAGGAGCTTTGCAAGCTCGCGGGCGTCTGGAGAGCAAGCCAGGCTTTGCCAGGCAGGGGTCTGATGCAGGTACGCGGTCGCTCCAGGGCAGAGTGGCAGGCTAGTGGCCCGCGGTGGTGTGGGACACGGGGGGTCCGCCACGGATCCTCACACAGTGTGGCGGCTGGAGCTGGCGGTCGAGGCACGGCCCTGCCCCGCGACACGGCGGGCGCAGACGCGCGTGAGTCGAGCCTCCGCGAACACTGTGCGGTTGGCAGCCTCTACCCCTGACGCTAATCCCCATCTCGCCATGGCGCCGTCCGATGCCACGACTCGCCTGGGGCCTAAGCTTGGATGCTGGCTGCTCCATGGCGCTGGCATCGCTGCATCGCCTCGCATCGCACTGCATCGCATCGTCGGCGCCCTCTGCCTTGGCCAGGCTTGCCAAACCACCACCACCACCTCACCCACCCTCACCCTGTCTTGCCCCCGGGCAGGCTTGTAGCCCCGGCCGCCACCGTGCCTTGCTTTTTCCCACCTGGCAGAAAGTTGGAACACGCCTGGAAGCCCCTCCGTCATCTCACGCCGCGACGCTGGCGGCCGTTCTGTCTGCACAGCCAGAACAGTCTGCACCAACGACAGACAGACGCGGTGGGGGCCCCGACGACTCGGTCCCCCGGCGCGCTGGGATGGCCCTCGTTGAGCGTGACATTGTGGCGGTGCGGTGCCTGCTGCACATGGGTCAGGCTGAGGCGAGCCGAGATGAATTGCAGAAAGGGGGCGCTCGAGACGGCTGCCCGTCTCTGTCGAGATTTGACTCTCCGCCGCGGCCCGGGGTCTCTAACCCGACGGTGCTCCGTTCTGCATAAAGGATCCTATATTGCGGGCTATTACTCTCCTCTTCCTGGACTTGGTCCGGAGACGGCCGGAGCTGTCTGCTTGCGGCAGGCCGTCCGTCCATCCTGTCGAGATTTGACTCTCCGCCACGATGCTCCGTGTCTCCAACCCCACGGCTCCCCCTTCTGCAAAACGAAGCTTATATCACAGACTATTATGTATTGCTGCTGCAAAAAACTGGATTCGTAGATAGCCGGAGCGGTGTGCCCCCCGGCAGTGCCTTCGTCCCCGCCGTCCATCCCTTGCGTTGGGCCAGGGCTGATTGTTGTTTATTACTGGCGACGTTGTGCGGACTCGCGGGAGAGGGGCCATGTTGCATTGGTTCCCGACCGCCCGTCCAGGTGGGAACAAGAAAGCTTCGCTTCCAGACATTGTCGCACACGCACCGCGCCGCGGCCTCTGCCGCATTCCTGTGCCAATTGTTTTCCGGCCCGGGCGCTCGAGCACCCAAGGCATTTGGAGAGCGGGGGCGCGGCCAGCCCGGCGTGCGGATGGAGCGCCGCCGCAAAGCGAACAAAATCGGACTGCTACAAGTGCTTGCTTGGCAGTTCCGGGCATCGGCAGCCTGCCGGTCGCCAAAGAATTTTTCTGGGCCGAATCGCGCGGCCAGACCAATCGTCATCAGAGGCTCCTTGTGTCTGTACTGTTCTGTGTTACATCCGAGTCACAAAGTCATCATCGAGCCGCCCCGATGACATCCTAGCTCTTCGACTTGGCGACGGTATAGAATTCCGGCGCGTACTCCAGCAGCCAGCCCTTTTCGATCTTGGTTATGTCCCTGATGAACGTCTTCTCGCCCGTCTCCATGACCTCGTGGAATATCACCCAATCCGCCTTGCGGTTGAACATGAGGGAGCTCGGGTGCGCGTGCAGCACCGTCCCACCGGCGACGTTGCGAAATGTGCCGTCGGGCTGCATCCTCGCCGCGTGCGAAAAATACCCTGCCGTCAGACAGCGTCGTATCTGCTCGGCCTTCTTGGCGTAGTCCGACTTGGGCTGCTGGGACGCGAGGGACTCGTCCACCGTGATGCTGAACCGCTCCAGGTAGCGCTTGAGTTGCGCCCGGATGCTGACCGCCCGGGTCATGGACTTGAAGTTGAGGTTGTTCTCGTAGCAGAAACGCGACTCCTTCTTTCCCTTGGTGACGAACGCGGTGTACACGTTGAGGAGGGTGAGGTGGTCGCCCTCTTCAGCGGCAAACTTGCGCCGCGAGCTCTCCATCTGCTTTTGCTCGCCGTCGTGGTAGAACCATACGCTGCCGCCGAGGCTCGTCATCGCAGCAATTGTAAGGATCTCGCTTAGGCAACCAAAGGCCTGAGCCGACAGCAAGGTCTTGGCCATCATTGGCTCGACCGCCAGTTCCGCCATCCGGAAGCCCAGCGGTCGTGTCAACTTGGCGTACTCGTCCAGGGCACCGAGCGAGTAGAGGAGCTCAAGAGCTTTGGACATGAGTTCAGAGGGCGGCGGCGACAAAAAGTCGAAACGCACAACATTGTCAATCCCCAGAGCTTTCAGCTGGAGGATAACGGGCGCCAGGTTCGACCTCTGGATCTCTGGCGGGTTCGCCTGTGGTAGATTCTCGTAGTCCTGTTCCGTGTACAGCCGAAAGCATTTTCCTGGCTTCGTGCGACCCGCTCTTCCGGCCCTCTGGGACGCGGACGCCTTTGATATCGGCGTGGCCGTGAGTGTCTCGATCCCAGTCACGGGATTGTAGGCGCGTAATTTGACGAAGCCGCAGTCGATAACGTGAACAATGCCATCAATAGTCACCGACGCCTCGGCAATGTTCGTCGAGAAGACCACCTTGCGCGTGTTTTCCGGCGGCTTGTCGAAGACGTACATTTGCTGCTCCGTCGACAATCCGGCGTATAGCGGTAGTGGCTGGATGGCTTCATACTTGCTCCCCGCTTGGGCTGCCCTCTCCGACACGGCCTGCACGGCGTTGTCGATTTCCTCGCGTCCCGTAAGGAACACCAAGATATCGCCCTCTCCTTCCTGGGTGTGGATTTCGAAGACGGTGTCTATCGCCTTTTCGAGGTAGTTTTCCGCGGGAGACTCTAGGTACAGGATGTCGATGGGATACGTCCTACCCTCGAGATTGACAATTTTACCGATGGTGTTATCGCCTTCGCCATTCTCTTTTGGCGGTGGCTGCTCGTCGCTCGAGTGGGAGAAGAAATTGAGAAACTCTTCGGCCTGGAGGGTTGCGCTGCTCACGATGATGCGCAAGTCGGGGCGTTTTCTGCGAATCTTCTTGAGCAGGCCGAGGAGGACGTCGGTGCTAATGGAGCGCTCATGCGCCTCGTCGACCATGATGACCGAGTACCGGCTCAGCAGTGGATCGACGAGTGCCTCTCTTATCAGAAGGCCATCCGTCATGAATTTGATGCGTGTTTCTGCGGACGTGACATCTTCGAAGCGGATCGAGTAGCCCACTTCCTTGCCGAGCTCACATCCGAACTCTTCGGCGACACGCACCGCCACCGTCGTAGCAGCGACGCGCCTAGGCTTTAGGATCGTTAGCCATGTCCGTTGGCATCTTCATAGGAGAGGGAGCTTACCTGCGTGATGCCGATTATCTTTCCATCCGTGCACCAGCCAGCGGCCTCCAGGAACTGGGGTATCTGTGTCGTCTTTCCTGAGCCTGTCTGACCAATGACTATCGTAACGGGGTATGTCTCGACGACGTAAAGGAGGCTTTGGCGGTGCTTTGCTATGGGCAGGAGAGCAGCTGGTTTATGCAGGGCAGGGATGAAGGACGAGGCGAGGTCGAAGTCAGCCATGGCGACGAAGCAGCGCTGTTCTGACGTCGGATGTCAGTCAAGGCAAGAGTGTTGCACGAGTGCATCAATGTACGGAGTATTATGCTGCCATGAAACAGAATCTGTCACGTCTATGGCATCACCGTGTGCGTCGACCAACAGTAGACTGTTGACGACGTGACTGCCTGGCTCAATCGATGTTCATGCGGTTGGTCAAAGCTACCCTGGACCTTGAAGCTCAGTATGAAATTCGACGACACCACAGCCGTGGCTTGTGCTCCATCATTGTGGCGAAGGTCACTGGACTGTGGCTTGCGCGGCCCCTGCGCTGTAGCCTGTGGGGACGTCATCATTGGCGCGTCCCCGAGCTACAGCCCCTCGCCAACATCACGGGCTGTACGTAAAGCCTGCTAGCCGCCTCCCATGATGCGTCATCTTAACTTCTGACAACCTCCCAATATCCAGTATAATTAAGGAGCCCACATTACTTTTTTTTATGAAGTGAAGCGACCGGCACTAGATTCTGACAGCACGCCCCCCAAAATGTCAACCCAGGCGGACGCGGTTAGTGCGAAGCTCCCTCCTCACCTCGCCTGCTCTGGCAACTGCGATCACTAGCAATTGCTGACCCCCTTGGATCAATCAGAACAAACCTGCGACCGAGGCAGGCGCAGAGTCGCCGACAACGGCGCGACCCCTCGAAATGGACGACGACGATGTTCAGGATACCGGTGTCGTTGCCGGCGACGACGTGCCGGGTACCGGCTCCGGCGCGGACCCCAAGGTGACGACGACGTCCACGACGACGCCGCTCCCCGCTACCGTCACAGATGCCCCGGAAGCTGCGTCTGATGAAGCGCCCCCTCCGAAGCCCCCTCGTCCTTTGACGGAGGCGCAGAAGAACGAGATGATTCTCAAGGAGGCGTTCCCGTCCGTGGACAACTCGGTCATCAAGGCAGTCCTACGAGCCAGTAGCGGACGAGTCGAACCGGCGTTCAATGCTCTGCTGGGTATGCAAATCGCCAGAACACCTCCTTAAAGACAAGGCGACTGACGTACAGCAGAAATGACCGACCCAGACGCGGCCAAGAACGAGCCCGAAGACGTTCCGCCGCCCCAACCCCGACGACCTCAGGGGCACACACCGATGTCGCAAGTCGAGGCAGACGAGCTCTACGCACGGCAGCTAGCCGAGCACTACGACAACGTAGGCGCATACGAGGCGAGAACTTCGAACCGTTCTCGTGGCCAGCACAACTTGGACGATGACGATCGCGAGCATAGCTTCATCGACGACGACCTGCCCGTCATTCGCGAGAACCTGCGCAAGGGCTTTATCGAGACTCAGACCAAGGTCAATGGATGGATCACGAACCTCAGGAAGAAGATTGAGGACGGATTCGACGAGACTGAGGAGAATACGCAGCGACAGGGCTCGCCGTTCCGGCGTCCAGGCGAGGCCAGCCGCAGAAGCGGCGACTACGACAGATACGATGCCGACCCGCAGGTTCTGAGTGATGACTTTGCAGGTATGAAGTTTTCTGCCGACGGAAGTGAGTGTGGTATCGCCGCATGATGACGACACTCTGCTGACATGCTCGAAGCGCCGGCCAACCGCACCTTTAACCCGACGCTGCACCGCCCTCCGCCTCCCTCCTCGTCTCCCAGGCCCAGCGACGGACGCCGCGTGGGCTTCAAGGAGGAGACCGAGGAGATCAACATGTACGACACGTCGCCCAGGGTGCCGCCCAAGGACACGCCGTCGTCCGCCATGAAGCCGAGCAAGTGGCAGCCGCTCTCGACGGTCGAGCCGGCTCCCATGGCGGACAATGACCCCTTCAGCCTGGGAGATAGCGAGGACGAGAAGGATGCGAAGGACGCCAAGGAGAAGCCCAAGGATGCCAAGGCAGACGAGAGCGAGAGGTTGAAGAAGGCGGCGGCGGAGGCCATGGCAGACAGCCTCGTAGACCCGGCCAAAGAGGGTGACTCGGCTGCCAAGAAGAGCTGAACGGCCAGCGCCTCGCTCGAATTGTCTTGAGGTCGGGAGGGACGCTCAAATTTAGCTGGATGGTCGATTCTCCCAGCAGTGCCACCCGGGTGATGGTGGACTGCTGCCTCGCGTTGCGGAGTAGGAGGCAGTGCGGCCACTGATGTCTCCTGGAATGAGACCGGGTAGATACCCTATTCAGGCCCGGAAGTAGGACAGAAATTGAGCAGCATTGAGTGCCTGAAGGCTGATGGACTGCGCCCGGGCCTTGTACCACGGTGGACATGATGAAGGTGAACGCAACAGGCCATTGTACTCGGCAGGGAGAGAAGCCTGCTTCATCCAACCCGGATATGGCTATCACGGGGTGATCATACGGCGATCGAAGCCTTGAGAGGGCTCACGCCGTAGGGTGTCCAAGAGCACATCGTTTACGACGCTTTGTACTTGACGACTTGTCGACGAATTCCACTATGGGCATCCTCAACCGGACGTCGCAGGGATCGACGCCAGATTGAGAAGTCGGGATGCATACTACAGTAGCATCGGCAGTATGATGTACACGTACTCGTGCAAAGCAGTGCAAAGCAGAAAGGAAAGAATTGGCGAACGGGTGGGTCGTGCCTGGCTTGGCCCTGCCCTGAGTACCACGGGACCGTGGACCGAGTATGGCATGGCGTGGGAGAGGCTCCAGACAATGCATGCGGGCACGCTGTCGACTCGTCGGGATGCTGTACGTATCAACAGCTGGGACAGAGCTCCCTCCGTAGGTACCCCGCGCCGACCACGTCATGTACTGCGCAAGGTACCTCGTCTTGCCTGCCCGCGGTACCTGATGTAGTACTCGATACCCTGGCTTGGCGGTCGCGTGAGATCCGCCGCAGACGCAAGAGGGGCAGCAGAGGCTTGAGAGGCTCTTCGCGCGTCTGCAACGCAGTGGACGTTGTCCAAGTCGATATGCCGAGCATCACCTATCGCTCGAGCACGGGGCAGAACGTGGGCCATCGATTGGATGTTTGGGCCCGCGGTGGATGCAGGTCGAGGCAGGACGCTAGAGTGGGCAGTAGCGCCATGAAGGGGCCAGCGCCATGTGTCCAGATTAATGTGCTAACGCGGCGTCGCCTATCTAGAAAGGAGTCCAGATCGCCGGCTAAGCAGCGGCCACGTCCCCCGACGTCGTGGGCCCAGATCGGCCCCCCCTCCAGTGGGTTGCCGGAAACAACGACGTGCAAGCATTGCTGGTCCTGGTCCACCTCTCTCTGCCCAGGGTGCCACAATTGGACGGACATGGGAGAGCCACAGCAGCAGCGACAGGGCAAGCCATGATGAACGACAGCCGTTGAGAAGGACGTCGACGCAAGTCACCCGCCCCCGCTTCCGAGGTAACATACACGAGCTGGACCGTCATTGTTGCTAAAGGGTAATAGTGGGAGGGACCAAGGTAAGCTGTCTGTCTGTCTGTCTGTCTGTCTGTTGCGCGCGCGCGACGGCCACGCCGCCAAAACTCTGTTCGACTGCCCTCACTCACCCTCTCACCTCGTCAGGGACCGCTTCGACGAGCCAGCATTGCGTGCTTGCTTGCTTGCCTGCTTGTATACCGTCCGCCGCGCCATACCGTACGCTTGACGCCGCCTGTTGTCCTGCTTGAGGAATCTCAGGATCCCCCCCGCCGACGATCTGCGCTGCAGCACGACCGGCGACACACGGCCGTCTCACTCATTTCAGCCTGCAGACAGACGAGCTCATCTACCTAGACAGACAAGGGCCCTGCGTTGCCGCTGCCGCCACTCGGCTGCCGTTCCTGAAAGCAGTCACCGAGCCAAGCTTGCAAGACCAGCGCCGCCCGCTGCATACAACTACTACTACTAGCAGCGAGCCGCGGCGTCTGGCCGTCCTCCCCTTGCACCGCCTTGCACCGCACCGCACCACCAACCCGTCGGGCTGCAACGTCCATCCCGCGCCGAGCGAGTCGTCTGACGGCTTCGACCTCCCGTCTGCGTGCCGCCGTGCCCCGCAGCCTCCCCTCCGGACTGGGTACCTAGCCGCCAGATCCCTTGTGTCATGCCTTAGGACCTTGGGGTTGCCACCACCACTACTCGCGACTCATCCTCACTGCGAGCTCAACGAGGGGCAGCCACCGCCTTGACCACCCTCCTCGCGGCCCAGCTCTCGCCCTGCGAAAGCTCTCTCCGCCTCTGGCCCTGTGCCAACTGTCGGCAGACATCGTATCAGTGCTACCGACTCGCAGCCGCCCGGGGCTCTGTGCCGCAACATGTACGTCCCTGTCTCGTACCCGCCGCGTCCCCAGCCACCCCTCCCTCCTCGCTGTACCGAGCCTCCCGCTTACCGTGCATGACTCCCGCCGCGCAGGAAGTTCGGCAAGCAGATCCAGAAGCGCCAGCTTGAGGTCCCCGAATATGCTGCCAGCTTTGTCAACTACAAGGCCCTGAAAAAGGTACGCGACCCTTCTCGCTCTCTCATTGCTTTTTGGCCCGCCCTGGTCCTCGACTGCTTGATATCCCGGCAAGCTAGCCGGGATGGAACTGCACATAAAGCCCCCCGTACCCTGTCCAACGCCTTGGCTGCCGGTCCGCTCGAGGTGCTGTCCTGTACCACAGACTAACCTTCCATTGCGTATGTAGCTCATCAAGAAGCTCTCCGCAACGCCAACCCTAGCCGCCCAGAATGACATCTTGCGCTCTGCCACGCCTGTGGACTCGCAAGCAGCCCTCCAGGCGAACAAGGCCACATTCTTCTTCCAACTGGTAATGACCCCTGCCCCACCCCTGTGCTCTCGACACGTACTTATTTCCGTACAGGAACGTGAGCTCGACAAAGTAAATGCCTTCTATCTCCAGAAGGAAGCCGAGGTTGGTCAACATGCCCCAGGAGCTTTCGTAGTCGTCGCTGACCACCGGCAATCAAACAGCTCAAAATTCGTCTCAAGACGTTGCTCGACAAAAAGAAAGTGCTGCAGACGCGCCAAGGAATCTCGAGACGCTCGTCCAAGTTCACAACTTTGGAGGAGGGCTTTCAACAATTTGCCACGGACCTCAACAAGCTCCAGCAGTTTGTCGAGATCAATGGCACCGCCTTCTCCAAGATCCTGAAGAAATGGGACAAGACGTCCAAGTCCAAGACAAAAGAGCTCTACCTCTCGCGGGCCGTCGAGGTTCAACCCTTCTTCAACGCCACCGTCATAAGTGAGCTCTCCGATCAGGCCACGACCAGTCTTCAAGAGCTTGGCGCCTGGTCGGATGGAATCCAAGTCAACTTCCAGACGTCCGGCCACGTTGTCACGAGCCAGCACTTCCTGGGTACCGATGAGGGCGATGCAGACACTCTGCTCCTTGATACCGTCATCACCGGCAATTTGGAGTCGCTGCGGGACCTGCTGGCTAAGATGCAGTCTGCTAGCGACGTGAGCGACGGCGACAACTCGTTGACGGACCGTGTCACTCGGACATTCTTGACGGCCATCCATGACGCTCCGCAGACAGCTCTACAGGTGCTGCTCGACACCGGCCTGGTAGATCTTCACTCCTACGACGACATTAATGAGCGCAACTGCCTCCACCAGGCAGCAATCTACGGCAAGCAGTATGTCCTGGAATGGGGTCTCAAGGCTGGGGTCGCTGTCGACCGCACCGATGTGTATGGGAGAGTCCCGTTGCACTATGCCAGCTTGCATGGGCGCCTGACGATGCTGGAAGTGCTTTTGAATGGTAAGTGACCGCTCTGGCGTGCATCGTTTTGCGAAGAGAGCTGACAAGATGCAGCAAACCCTTCGACGATTGACCTCATTGACCATGACAACTTCACACCCCTGATCCATTCCATAATCCACGGCCACCTCAACTGCATTGAGCATCTCCTCGCCAAGTCTGCACGCATCGACCCCATCTCAGATACGGATCATGTTCCCCTCAATCTTGCCTGCGAGCACGGCTCCGAACCAGTCGTCGAGATGCTCCTGAAGCACGGGGCCAAGATATTGCCAGATGCCGAGGGCCTCTACCCCCAGCACCTGGTCGCGCGGGCCGGGAAATCGTCGCAGCTGCTGCTGCTCTTGAAGCAGTACGGCGCGGATCTCGACCAGATCGACAAGCTGTACGGCTGGACGCCGCTGGTACACGCGGCCAGCGAAGGCAACGTCGACTGCCTTCAAGCCCTGCTCAAGGTTGGCGTCGATGTAAACATTGTCGACGAAAAGGAGCTGCCAGCCATGTATTACGCCGCTTGGGAGGGCCATCTGGCCTGCATGAAGCTGCTTACACCCTTCAACACCCGCATCAAGGCCAGCCCCCTGGTAGCCCAACCGTCTCTTGGGCCAATGGACAGCAGTAGCGCGCCGCTACCCATGTCGTTGGATCCGGATGCGATTCCGGTTCTCGAGCTGCCTCCCCCCATCATCCCGCTGCGCCGCTACGGCCACAACTTCTTGGACACCAAGACTGTCGTGCAAATCAACTTTGACGAGGGCAAGGAGCAGCCGTTGATATTCTTCCAAGACGGCAAGTATCCCGCTGCGCGCCTGACCATCTCCTCCAAAGTCTCGGACCTCATCCCCAAGAACATTATCCTACCTTTCCAAGAAGATACCCGAACCGTTTCCTTTCAAGTCGACAACCTCGACACCTTTTCTCTGGATTTTGACGTCTTTCCGACCTACGGCGCCAAGGTCATTGCCAAGACGGTGGTGCTTCCCACGGCGTTTAAGACGCAGCAGGGCAGCTCGAGTTGTTGCCTTCCGCTGTTCGACCCCCGGCTGCGGGCCATCGGCCAGATCAGCTTCAGCACGCAGGTCATCAAGCCGTTCCGGGGCCAGCCGCTCGAGATTACGGACTTTGAGACGTACTGGAAAGCCACGAGCCAGTTCAACCAGCCGACCAACGCCGTCGTCACGGGGTCTAGTTTGTCTGGCGACTATGTGCGGCTGTTTGTGCAATACACGAGCGACGGCGTGCCTGTCGTCTGGCCGCAGTGGACCATTGCTTGTGGCGGCCTGCAAATACCGGTGTGTAGGCTGTCTTTGGAGCAATTCTCGGCGATCACGGCGAAGAGCACTAGTCGTGCCGAGCTGGCAGGCCTTCCGTCAAAAACAGTCGAGAACATTGCGGAGATTTATCACACATTGGCCACGGCCGGTGTCACGCTCAAGGAAGCCCTGTCCATCCTGCCTCGCGGGGTCCACGTCAACCTCCAGGTTCTGTACCCGTCTGCAGAAGAGGAGCGGATGCTGGCGCTCGGCCCAGCCCTCGACGTCAACGTGTTTGTCGACGCCATTCTGACGGCAGTCTTTGACCATGCGCGGGCTCAGAGGGCACAGTTCCAGTCTCCCGACGTGGCGCGGTCCATGGTCTTTTCCAGCTACAACGCCCGACTGTGCACGGCGCTCAACTGGAAGCAGCCCAACTTCCCAGTCTTCCTCTGCAACGACCTGGGCAGGGAAGAGAACCTCAACGGCACAAGCAAGCTGTCGAACAGCGGGCGCAGGAGCACGTCGATTAAGGAATCGGTCCGGATCGCGCAGAGCAACAACTTTATGGGCCTGATGTGCTATTCTCGGCTCTTGGTATGTTTTCTCCCACCACGCTGCAACGATCCGTGCGGCTCGCTGACTACTAATAGGAGATGGTGCCCGCTCTCGTCGATGCAATCAAGTCTCACGGGCTGGCGCTGGTCATGGACAAGTCCAACGACTCGCCCGACACGAGCCCGCTGACGGAACCGTTCCCCCGCCCACCTAAAGGAGTGGATGGCGTTTTGAAGAATCATGGTATTTTGCGCTTCAACGACTCGATAGACATGTAGACGTGGGGAGAAGGACGGATCACAGTACGGAATAATGAAATCGCAGCGACCTGATGGCAGAATTAAATCATGTGTTGCGGAATGTCGTATCATTCGTTGGCAGTCGTAAATTACGTAGGACCAAACCAAACTCCCCGGCGCCTTGCGAGACTCGCAGGGTTGTATCAGGCGCCCTTGAACCGGTACTTGAGGGCCGAGAGCTCCTTTTCCGGGTCCACGCTGCCCATGACAACCTTGGATATCAGGACAACGGCATACACGAGGGCAGGCAAGTTGCCGATGCCGATGACGCCAAACTCGCCTGCCCCGCGCCCGGCCACGAGGCCCAGCAGCGCAACCATGGCGACGAGCACCACGTTCAGATACGGCAGGTACATGTCCAGCGGCGAGCGACCGCCGCCGCCGCGACCATCGTCGAGCACGCCCGCGCCTCTGCTTGCGCGGGCCCCCCCACGACCGGAGGAGGAGCGCAGCAGTGCGCCCGCGTCCCTCGCCGCGGCGCGCACGTCGTCGCTGCGCGTCCAGGCGTCCAGGGGTGCGATGCCAGTGACGGTCGGGGGCAGGCGGTGGAGGAGGTATGCGGTGGCGAGGAGGGACGTGAGGGCGAGGAGGCAGACGAGGTTGGCGCTGGTGCTGCTGCCGCTGGGAGCAGATTCCGGTGCGCCGCGGCGGCGGGAGGCGAACATGTGTATCAGGTAGGGCAGAGTCGACAGCAGGGGCAGGGCGAGCAGGCCGAGGCGAAACGTCTCGTTGCGGGAGGTGTTTTCGGCGACGAGGTTGGCGATGAGGGACTCTTGCTCTGCGCCACGCCCCCCCCCATATGTCAGTCAGTCAGTCGGTCAACCGCGCGCCAGGAGCTCGAGCTTGGTAGGCTGGTAGGAAGAAGGAGTCCGGGAAAGGGGAAAGCTGCTTGGGTGCTTGGGGTGCTTGCCTTGCTCGTCCATGGCGTCGGGCTCGCCGCCGTCTGAGTCCGAGTCGTTCGGGTAGCGGAAGGTGCGACGCAGGCGGGCCGTCGCGCCGCCGCCGCGCGGGTTGGACATGGTGGCTGGAGCTATTCTTTCGACAATATGGGTGCTCGAGGCTCGGGGCGGCAATGTCAACAAGGAAGAAGTAGGGCGGGAGGAGCGAGCTTCGAAAGGTGTTGAAGAGAGGTAGGTGGTGTATGTTGACGCGCGCGGCAGCTGTGATGGTGGTTGTAAGTGTGTGAGTGAGGCGGCTGTCAGTTGAAGAAGGGTCGGGGAGGTAACATTAGGTAGGTGCCTGCTATGACGCCACATGCCAGAAAGCTCCAGCGCACCTACGGGTGTAGATAGAGAGCCAGACCCCTGTGCTGCTGGCTAGGTGCCCTGGGCCACTTTATCACTGGACCCGACCTAGCGCCGCGCGCCGGTGCCACTACCGAATCGAAACTCAACCTCCACTAACGAACGACCTGCCCACTCTGCACGCCGAGCAGCCTCAAAAACTCTCGCCCAGACCGACCAACGCCGACGAGCGGACAACGACAACGACGACCACGGGCTGAACGACCGATCCTGCCCCGACCCCGTCCTTCCTCGCGCGCGCACACACGCACATCACAATACGTAGCAGCCCACGATGCTGTCGCGAATAGTCCCGCGCCGCGTGCCGGCGTCAACGGCCTCGCTGCGCCAGTGCTCCAGACCCAGTGCGGCATCATCGTCAACATCACGGACGACGTCGTGGTCCTCTCGCGGGCCGGCGCAGAGGCGGTGGAACACGCCCGCCCCGAGGCCCGGCGAGGGGCCGCTCATGTCCCGCCGCGCCGACCGCGAGCTGCCAGGTGCGTTTTATCTCCTTGCCTCTCCTCCTCTGCTACCCTCTCTCCCGCCCTCCTCCCGCCGAGCATTGCGTCGTCAAGGACGTGCAGCGCCTACCTGTGGTGGCAGCATCACCATGAAAACACCTCCCGCTGACCTGATGGGAGAAAAGACATCAAGCAGACCCGCTTCCGGTGGTCGCGCTCCCTCCCGCTCTTCCTCGCCGTCGTCGCCGTCTCGGGCCTCGCCATCTTCAACTACCAAAAGACGTCGTCGCCCATCGTCTCGTCGACGCTCTACGCCCTGCGCACCTCGCCCCGCGCCCGCGCCCTCCTCGGCGACGACATCTACTTCAAGCAGCCCATCCCCTGGATCCGCGGCGAGATGAACCAGCTCCAGGGCCGCATCGACATCTACTTCTCCGTCCGCGGCTCCCGCGGCGCCGGCGTCATGCGCTTCGCAAGCTACAGGCCCTCGAGCCGCTCCCTCTTCGAGACCACGGAGTGGAGCCTCAAGATGGACGACGGCGGCGACTGGGTCGACTTGCTCGAGGATGGGGATCCGTTTAGGAGCCTGCTCAATGATGATGCACCGCCGGTGGTGCGGCCGGTGGTGGAGGAGCCGGCGGATCTCAATGCTACGAGGGGCTTTAGGCAGCAGGGTGCGCTGAACAAGTAGATGTGCGGCCGTGAGGAGGCGTCTACGGCAACAACGGAGGGGTAACTGGCACGGCGTTGGGGTGTGCGGATGGATGGCACAAATGGTCATGTAATTTGCTGTACAGTGGTGGAAGGTAAACCGCCCGTGTATCTATATCATACAAAGCCCGCTTTCCTTCGGAACTACCTTGATCAAACATTTCCCCCTCTGTGTGTGGCGACACTGCCGACAAACGAACCCCCTCACAGCTCCAGCGCCTGCGACTGCCGCCGCTCCTTCATGTCCAGGTGCGTCTTGCGCGCCATCTCCAGTCTCTCCTCGGCGTCCGGGTGTCTCTCCTTGAGCGTCTCCATGGCCTTTTCGCGGTGCGGCAGCGCGGGCGCCTTGCGCTTCTTGGAGTCCTGCAGCTTGACGACGCGGCCCTTGGGGCCCGGCACCGGCCCGCTGACGAGCACGACGCCCAGCTCGTTGTCCACCTTGAGCACCTTGAGGTTCTGCACCGTCACCCACTCGTTGCCCATGCGTCCCGGCATCTTTTTGCCCGGCAGCACGCGGCTACCACTGCCCTGCGACGGGCCCGTCGTGCCGATAGTGCGGTGGTTTTTGGAGTTTCCGTGCGACGCCTCCTGACCGGCGAAGCCGTGGCGCTTCATGCCGCCGGCGAAGCCCATGCCGCGCGACCGCGCCCGCACGTCCACGTACTGCCCCAGCTGGAACCAGTCCGGCAGCAGCTGCGCGCCCACGGGCAGCAGGCCCTCCTCGCCGCGGACCTTGAACTCGGCGAGGTCGCCCTTGGGCGCGATGCCCTTGGCCTCGAAGTACCCGAGCTGCGGGCTCGTCACGTTGCGGCCCGGGCGGGATCCCGCGCCCACCTGCACGGCCCAGTAGCCGTGCTGCTCGCGCGTCTTGTTGGCCACCACCTGCACCTGGTCGAGCTGCAGCACAGTGCACGGCACGCGCGCCTTGCCCACGAACATGCTCGTCATGCCCTTCTTGGTCGCCAGCACGCCCGCCCGCAGCGGCGTCGTGTTCTCGCGCCGCTTGAGCGCCGCCGCGGGGCCCGTCGTCAGCGCGGGGAGCCCTGCGCTGGGCTGGTTGAAGCGGCGGGGCTTGGACCGCGCGGGCGCCGTCGACCAGCCATTGTGCACGCCGCGGCTGGTGATGGATGTCGTCGAGGTCGAGGTGGATGTGGTTGTCGCGGGAGTGAGCTGCGGGAGGAGGAGTCGCCGCGGCGCGCCTTGTGGGATGGCTGCGGATGGCCGCGGGAGGGCCACCCGTATGGGCAGACGGGGTGGCATGGCCGGCCGTGTGTCGATCGGTATGCGGGTTTATGGAAAGGTTGAGGTGTGTGAAGCGGCAAGGGGAAGCTCTCGTCGTCTCGAAATTTTGGGACCAGTGCTGAGGCTCAATTGAGATCGGGTATTCTGCGGGCCGGATTTGTGGGGCGGCAATGTCTCCCGGGTAGGCTGCTCTGACTTGTGAGGAACGAATACAGCACTTGTTGCAACTTGCCACCTTGATGACCTTGCCAAATTTCTAGGCTTCGATTTCTTGCACAATATTGACCTTGTGCCGTAATCTAGAGTAAAACGACCTGTCCCGCCATGTGGTATCTATTCGTTAGGCTTACAATGTGTCCAACCCCGTGAACCTCACATCCCGTGTCCCCTCCCGCCAATGTCGCTCCCCATCTTATTGATGCTCGTCCCCTTGAGCTTGTGGTCGCCCGGCTGCGGCGCCGCCTCGTACAGGATATTCGTCGGCGCGCGCCCGAGACGCGTCCACTCGCCCTTGAAGCCTACGTAGCTCACGCGCGACACGTCCTCGTCGCCGTCGCCAAAGTTGTCCACGAAGAAGAGCCCCAGCCGCTGCACCTTGCCGAAGAGGGCGCGCTTCACGGGGATCTCCTGCACGTCCGACGTCTGCGAGAGCTCCAGCTTCTGCACGGGCTCGAGCTCCTCGGCGGACGAGAAGTCTAGGTCTGCGCGGTTGATGTACAGGTGCAGCGTGCGAGGCGCCGAGGCGGACGGCGAGGTGCGGAGGAGGATGGAGTGAAGTTTGATCTGCTCGGTGAAGCTATTTCGTTACATGTCAGCGCGCTTCCATCATTTTTACTTGCATGAGGCGAGAAATTCGTCGAAGAGATGCGAATAGTGAGGTGAAACGTCAGTTGACGAAGAGAGACTCACGGCACCGTCATGAGGAGCTGCTCGTCCGCATCGCTCTCCAGCTCCGGCTCGGCGCTCAGCCTCTCAGCCCACGTCTTCTTGACGACCGCCTTGCCTGCGTCCCTGCGCGACTCGTTGAGCGTCGTAATCTCGTCAAAGTTGATTTGCTCGTACAGCGACGACTGCAGCGCCGGCGTGATGTCGTCCGAGTGGTCGTGCTCGTGGTGGTCGTGGCCGCCGTGCCCGGCGTGCTCGTCGTGGCAGTGGTGTGACATGCTTCCGGTGGCTTCGAGCTATTCGTTGACGAGCTTGAAAATTTCCACGTATGTGCAAGGTCGTGCGTGTGGTTGAAAACGCGATGTGAAAGAGAGATGAACGAAGAGGTGAGTTGGTGGTGGGGATGAGCTGCCCCGCTTACGTCGTTTGACGTGCCTGGCGCAGATCCACGACTTACACCTCGCCTCAACAACGCGGGGCGGCCTCTCGCGGATTGTACGGCCAGGATTCATCACGGATTTATGAGAATTAATTGAGAGTGAAAGTGGGATTCTTATGGTCCCAATTAAACTTATTCCCAGCTGCACAAAGCACAGTCTGCGTTGACAAGCTTCCTCTATCTGAAACCACTCTTGCGCTTTCCCTTCTTCTTCTTCCTGTCTCCTCCAAAGGTTCCTGCCACGGGCTGGCTCATCGTCACCGCCGGCCCCATCTGCGTCTGCGATGATTCCGGCACTGCTTGCTGACTCGACATGGCCTGCACGGGGGGCGGCCGCATCGGTAGACTGGCCTCCTGGCTGAATCCGTCGCTCATCGGGAAGCCCTGTCTCATGAAGGCTGGCCGCTTGTACTTTTCCGCCTGAGCCTTGCGCTTCGCCTCGATCCTATGCAGCCGCTGCCTAGCGTCTCTGAACTTTTCGTCGGCTGCGACTGCAACACTCGATACGTAGTCTCGGGTATCGATGCCCCGCTCCGAGGGCCAGTACGACAAAACCTTCGACTGTTTCGTGGGGACCGGCAAGGAAGGTTCTTGAAATGTGGCCAAGAGCATCAAACGCTGGATGACAGCGTCGTGGGCCGACGGGGTCGGCGGCGACGAGGGTGGCAGCCCGGGTGAAGACGAGGCAACCCGTGGGCTTCGGTGGGGTGGCGTAGATGGCAACATTGTCGACTCTTCAAGTATTGTCTCTTCCGGACCGGGGTTCGCCACGCCCAGCAGAGGTACATGCTGAACCATGACTCCATAGCTCGACAAAAACACATCCCGCGCAATTTCGTTCACCCACACCCTTCGGATCTGCTGAAGTTCTTCCGGTAGTGCATTTCCCGGGTCAAGCCACAGCGTAGAATACTGCTGTTGCAGGTAGGCCAGGCCGAGCAAAGAGTCAAATGGCTCCATCTCAGAGTGCCTTCGTAGCTGGGTAACGACGACGCTGTCGCTGTTCGCGTCGAATAATTGCTCGACATCGCCCTCCATACCGTCTTCGGGTGACCCGTATGGTACAGGCTGCTCGAGCGAAGAAGCTACTTCGGCCCTGGACATGTTTAGCAACTGCCTGTCAAGAGGTCGAGCACGACCTACCATGTAGTCAACGGCAAGCCAAATTCCAGCCCGTGCTCAATGAAGCTCTGCAGAGCGTCAAACAGGCCAACCGGCAGTCCGAATGAACCCTGCGCAGCACTCGCGTCGAGTTGTCTCTGGATGGCCTGTGCAATCCGCTCCATCTTTAGGCGAATCGGCCGCCGTTCGGGTGGACGTCGGCTCTCGCTGACATCCTGCGGCTTCTCTTCCACCTCGGCATCTCCCTGCTTAAGAAGAGCTGCCATGTCGGCCTGGCTCATAGCGTCGGGCACGACAAACGTGTCCGTAACATGCTGTAGGAAGTACCTTCGACGCATTTTCCAGCGACGCCGCTGCTCGCTCTTCGTCCAATCTACCCGCGTGGTCGGCAGCGTTACCTCAACTGTGGGGTCGCAAACAGACGAGTACATGGAGTACCGCACACCGAGGTCGTCTCCGAGGGCCATGACTTGATAAAAGTGTGTACCGCTATCGAGGTATCTCGAGCCTGGCCCATCAGCAGGGTGCTTCGGAAAGACATCGAGTCTCGCAGGATGCACTCGAAGGAGCTGAATGCTTGTGCGCGGTGCAAGACCATCACTGCCTGGCAGGTGTGAGATATCGCGATGCCACTGCGGCAGGCCTGTGGTAGGTGAGACGGTGAACCAGTAGACACACAACTGCTCTGTCCCTGGAGAGTGTGTAAAAACAAGCGCTGATTGACTCTCGTCCGCGCAGGGTGCAACACTCATTCTCATGTCTTCGTGCCCGATGCCGGGATGTGAGCAAGCGAGGAGGATCTTCGGTTTGCACATGTCCTCTGCCTGCCTATTCAAACAATCGAGGCCAACCCATATGACTTGTCGGGTAGTTAACACAAAGACGTGATCCTCGTTGCCGGGGCTGGGTTGGATATCCAGGATACGATCCGGCCGCCTCTGAGCTGACGACGTCAGGTCCAGCTTTCGAAAGACTGTAGTGGCCTCGAGATCAAACAGCTCCACTTGGTCCGGATTCCACAGTAGGACGTAGCGTGAAGGAGCTGTGACCGAACCCACGGCTCCGGCGCCTTTCGCTGGAGTTCGATACGCGGTACCGACAGGCGATCCGCCAACGCCGAGCATGCCATGGGTCATCGCTGGATAGGAGGGATATCTTGGTATCGCATCCATGAAGCCTTGGAAGATATGCCCGCGCTTGAAGGGAACCAGGTGGAGGGTCCTCCTGACTGCATCTGAGGCGCCCATGATATTCCAAACACTCCAGTAGCCGCATTCATCAATGACACCCAGTTGAGGCGGACAGCCGAGCGAAGAGGGGTTTAGAAACATGTCGGAATGCGCATTGCCACCCGTTTCACTCGCCCGTAACGTAAGCAGAGGATTCGGGTTGATAAAGGACGGCCCCTGCTCTCCCGGCGCCTCTACCGATTCGGGCTGCGGGACAGGCAAGAGGTTGTATTCGGGCTGTAATAGCGTGGTCCCGGTGGATTTCTGCACCATAAGCCATCGGTCATAGCCGTGGCGAGAGACGTGAGTCGCAAACTTGACTTGCGTGATCGGCACCGAGTCGCTCGTCCAGATGGCTTCTTCCTCCTGGTGTACAGGATCAATAAGAGATAGGTTCAAGAGCACATCCTTGTGATCTCCCCACTGCCAATACGATTCATCGAGGCGGACAAGCCGCAGCTGTTGCCCGGAGTGCCCGGTCGCGGCGGCGAGCACAGGAGCCCCTCTCACGTCCCATTGGTTTGTCAGGTCGGCGACGAGGCCGACAGCCAGCAGCGCTTTGCGATTTGTTTCGTCTTCGGCTTGCTGGAAGCGTTCCATGTCCTCCTTGAGGAGCTCCTGGACGGAAGAGTCACCGATGCAGGCCTCTGGGTGAGAGTTGAGGAGCCATCTCTTCTGCACCTGCCGTTCCTCCCACGTATGAGACAGAGCGGCAATGGCCGTCACTGACTTTGAAGGGGGATACAGTTGAGCCGACGATCCCACTATCCGAAAGTGTAGCGCTGCAAGAAAGAGTCAGATGGGCAACCAAAGCACGGAGCCGGGCAACTTACAGCTTGACAGCGCCCTCGTCGTATGCAGCTCGCCCGGCTCATTTTCAGGATCCTCGGAAGGTATGTAAGTCAAAAGTCCCGCGTGACCGTAGTTGAGGTCCGCGAAGCGGCGATGCTCAGCCATTAGGGCCAAGCAAGGATTTCCAATGTGCTAGGGACTTGGTGATGGTCTTCTGCTTCATCTCGGACCAGCGTGCCGCAATGATGCGATGGTGACGGTAGCGTGTCGCTCGGATGTGTCGCTCAGAAGATCATACTGCACTACCAGCAGCGCAAAGCCTGGCATATCCTTCGGAACAGCAAAAGTGGTGAGCGTGAAGTTGGCGAAAGCTTCTCGCGATGAGCTTCGATTGGAGCCGTGAAGTTTCCAAGCTCATGGCACGTGACCTCGTGGTGGGTGGGCGTGTGCCACGCGCCGTTGGCTGTCGACCCAGCAACTGCCATTTCGAGGTAAACACCACTCCACAGCAAGCTTCGCGCCTAACACAACGCCCGACAAAAGCGCTACAGACACGACAATTCCTTTCACGACCACACCGTGAGACGATATACAAAATGGCTACAGCATTCGAGCCTTCACGCTCCTCAAGCATCGGCTACGGCCGCCAGTCGATGGCGCCGGTAGCGCCCTCGGCCGCGGACTCGCTACCCAGCATCAACTTTGGCTTCGATGACCTGCGCGATCGCATGGCAAAGTTCACGGCCAAATTCGACGCCTTTATCGAGCAGGGCCGCAAGCGCGTCCTGGAGGAACGCAACCAGTTTCGCATGAACGTCGCCGAGCTGCAAGGTACGGCGACATGACAAGACAACAATGGTGCGGTGCGGCAGCGCAATCGCTAACATGCTTCACAGAGGACCAGCGCATGAAGAAGAAGGACATTGAGATCGAGCAGATCAAGATGGCGACGCACCAGCAAACGGCCGAGAAGGAAAAGGCAGAGACGCGCGAGATGGAGGCGGCCATCGCGTCGCTGGCCGCGCAACGCGACAACCACCTCTCGCGCCGCGACAGCCTCAAGAAGCAAATCGCGCAGACCGAGGCGGAGATCGACTCTCGGCTGGCGGCGCAGCGCGCCTTCGCGGCGGAGCAGGAGGCGCAGTCGCGGTTCAACGTCCCCGAGCTCGACTTCTGGATCACCAACCTGTGCCTGCGCATCGAGGGCGCGGGGCAGGACGACCGGCTCAAGTTTGTGTACACGCACGTCGACGAGCGCAACTGGGAGCGCGAGGCGTGGTTCGAGCTGGTGACGAGCTCGCGGGACTACGACGTCAAGCACTGCCGGCCCAAGCTGGAGCGCGAGGCCGTGGAGCGGGTGCTGGAGCGGGTCAACGAGTCGCGGGAGCTGGTGACGCTGCTCAAGGGGATGAGGGAGCTGTTCGTGGAGGCAATGAAGGCTTGACACGATCGAAATTACATGTTCGAATTTGACCGCGCCGCCTATTCGTGAGAATGCCACGTATGCGATTTACGTGCTTCAAGGATTCAGGTTGCAACCTTTGGTGACGCCTGCGCCTGCCGGGCGTCCCTTATCATCTCGCCGCCCGACCCAGCGAGCATGGGGACTTGCCCGGGTTATTTAATCATGTCTTTGGCTCATGGCAAGTTGAGGTCAATGTTTCAAGGATTGCGCGTGTCTGTGCTTCCCGCGGAATAAAGGCACGCGCACAGCACAGGGCAGCCAGAGCGGCAGCTTCCGTCTCCATGCTTCTATGGATAGTCTGTCAAAGCATCTTCTTCGTCATTGTTACATAATAGTAACTGCCTGGACTGCACAAAGCGTCAAGTGGCCATGCCTCCTTCATACGTCTATTACGCAGGCCGTAGGTAACCATAACTCGGACCGTGACACGGCACGACATATGCCACGCGTCGTGAAGGCCATGATCGAGATTTGCAAGTACTTAAACCGCGGAGGCTCTTGCGATGTCTGGACTTGCCTTGCCTAGGCATCATCGTCCACCGCCGTCCTCGACAACATCTACACCCAGCGCCACTCCGCCCACAACTGCAACCATGCAGTATCCCACCGCACAATTCCTCACCGCGCTGCTGGCCATCACGCCACTCGCGGATGCGTTCACCTGCAGGCCGGGACGAACCTACTGCGGCTACCATCTAATGGCGGGAGGTATTCAAGCGAACATGCTCCATCTGGACTTGATACCTTTTTGCTAACAGCGTCCCACAAGGCATAACGGAGGGCCAGCTGAGCTCGGTGCTGAAGCGAAACGTCCTGAGCGCAAACGACTTGAGCAAGCGCGAGAACGACGTGCGCCAGATGCTGTTCGTCTGCGAGGACGGCGGCGCGTTTCGCTTCAAGCAGGTCTGTCCGACCCGTTGCGGGACGCGCATCGGAGCGGCAGGGGATGTTTGTATGTGAAGGGAACGCAGCACGCCTGTGACAGTCTGTTCGGAGCACCAGACAGACTACTTTTACACTTTGGCGAAAATAAAAATCGCGGAAAGCATCACGAGTTGTGGGTGCCTGTGGCGTTTTATATCATTGCACGCGATGTAGATGTGACCCTGTGAGACGAAGTTCATACATAGGTGATCTACAGCACTGGTGAGCGGGAAGGTGTAAATGCGGGGGGACCCTTTTTCGCAGGTGTCGTCGGGGCGGCTCATCCAGCGACCACCACCCACCAACAAACCTCACACCGCAGACGCTCGCGGTCCGCACCGCACAGCAACACAACCCATCATGCCCGCCGCCTCGGACAAGCGCGCCGCCGCGCAGCAAGCCGTGGACATTCTCCACGAGATTTCCACCATCCTGGTTCGCATCGCCTTTGCCCTTGCCCTTGCCCCCGTTCCGCCGCCGCGTGCGAGGCGCGCGTCTTGAGCGCGGTGCCCCCCTTTGCGTTTCGTGCGACCTCTGCTAACCCCGTGCCCGTGCCTACCAGAACTGCCACCTTGACCGGCGGACACTGTCCATCTGCATATCCATGATTGAGCGCGGCGTCAACCCAGAGGCCATGGCGGTGAGTGAAGCATCAAGACCAACGCGTTTCGTGATACATGGACTGATCAAATGATGCAGCAAGTCATCAAGGAGCTGCGGCAGGAGGCACAGCGGGTCGAATAGACTCACATCGGTGTATGGGTTGCTGGGCTAGGGGACAGGCATCTGGATTGGTAACCGGCGTTCGCGGGGTTTCGGAGTCCACACATGACTGAATGTATGATAAGATGATGCTTCTATATATGACGCTGCGGGCCAAAGAGCCTCCGTATGCACTCATGTTTCATTCTCAACCGCTTGCTCCGGCCCTTGAAGAACCAAATGCTCCAGATAAACGCCGCGGTAAGCAAAAATGCACCCTGCCCATGCAACCCGGGCATCCATCCAACGCCCTGCAAAAGCCCCATCCTATAAATGATTCATAAACAGTTTTTACGTTTTGTGCAACGCCGTCAGCACAAACGGCTCACCGATGGCCGATGAGCAGAATCTCATCTTCGTCATCCTCCTCGTCAACGTCTGGCGGGCCATCGCTCTCCTGCTCCGACTCGGAGCCCGAGTCGCCCGAGTCGCTAGACGCCTCGTCTGCACCGTTGCCCCTCCAGAACCCAAAAATGTCGTCTTCCGAGTCGACGTCCGCGGCAGTCTGGGGCTGATAGGATTCCAAGCCCGATGGCAAAGGCGACAGAGATCGTGCGACTCTATCGGGGACGCGATAGGAGAGCTCGACGCCGTGGGACGAGTGACGCCGCCTGTTTGGGATCAGCGTGCCGGCGCGAGGGGCTGCCGACTCCGTCTCAACCCGAGCCTGAGCCTGATCGGGCTGGGCGGACACCTGCGCTGCCGGACCCGATGCCTCCCCAACTTGACTCCCCTCGCCATGCATCTGGAGCTCCACGGTGTTGTACGAGCGGCATATTGAACACTTGAGCCCCAACCAGTGATACGGAACCGTCGACTTTCCCGAGCAGTCGTTGCACAGTACCGTGGCCTTGGTGTCTCGGAACTCTGGCGGCATGGGCTGGCTTTGGATTGCCACGTCGAGGTTGCGGAACTGCGTCTCCATGTTCGCGAGGCTCTTGTTGCAAATCGGGCACTTGTAGGACCTCCTCATGTGCTGTTCGTAGCACTTTTTGTGGATGCTATGGCCGCATGGCATAAAGACGACGGGTTTCGGCGACGTGAACATGTATTCGCCGCAGATGGGGCAATCACAGTCGGTCGACCGCTCGATACACTTGTGCGAGCTCTGTATCGACGTGGTGATGCAGGCGCGGCAGGTCTAAGCCGGGCATTAGCAAAAGACCACCAGTCCAAACGAGGAGCGCTGTACTCACCTTGCAGTGGAAAAAGTCCTTGCCCAGGCCGAGCCCCCGCCGGCAGATCCCGCAGTCATTGCAATGGTATATCGGCTTCGATTTCCTATTCTCCCACAGCTTGCAGATGTTGCAGTAGTAGTTTGCCGCAATCTCGCCACAGTTGACGCAGACGTCAGACGCCTTTTGCGGCGTGCTGCACAGCATGCAGAGCATGTGCTTCGTCTCCTTGCGAACCAGATTGTGGTCTTCCTGAGCGTCGTGGCAGAAGCGGCAAGTGTACCACTTGGCACACGTAGAACATTGCAGCTTGACATTGCGCTCGTAGTGTTGACAACCAAGGGGCGGGCTAAGGTCCGACGGAGACGACGGTGCTGACGTTGGGCTCTGGCTGTCGGGCGTCTTGGGCTGCCGAATGGGCGCAAACGTCGGGGTAATGTCGCTCTCCGTCAGGTTGAACTTCTCGGACGGCGTGTCGCCAAGCTGGCCGTTCCAGAACTTGAGGGATTCCAACGGTCCCGTAGATCCGGATGGCTCGTACGCGTGCAGAGCCGGCTCCTTGCCCGGGGAGCTCGGGGGGATCACCACACTCCGGATGCCGTTCTGCGACGCCCTATATCCTTCAAGCAGCATATCATGGATCCGCCTCGCCTTGTCAGCTGACGGGATGTCCTGCGCGTTGATCGCGTGGATGCGAGTCCTCAGTTCGCGCATCCCATCGTCCTCGGGGATGCCCCGGCCCTTCTTAGGGGTCACCGGGAAGCCCAGATGGTCCCGCGGGACATCGTCGCGAGGCGGCGAGCTGGCCGGCACATCTTCGACTCGCGTCTCTTCCGTCGACGTGCTGAGCGGCCTGGAGCGGGGTGTCGCGGGGGCGGGGGCCACAGGCTCTCCGACAGCGGCATCGTCGGGGTGGCTAGAATCGCTCACCGCGTCCAGAGGAGCAACGGCATTGGGGTGGTCCTCGTCGCCGGCGAGCGTCGAGCGGGATATCTCGGAAAATCGGCGCGCCTGGCGCAAGACGGGGTTGATGATGAACTCGGAGACCAGGGAAGACATCGGAGTCGCCACAGCGGCGGGCAGCCAGGAGGCGCCCCGAGGACTCGACCACGGAGAGACGGGGGGCCGGAGATGGGCGCCTGCGGGATGCCGTCGCTGTCGGGCAGGGCTTGAGGAATCGATACAATTCCGGGATCGGATATTAGCCTTGGGGGAGGCACGCGACGGAGGAGTCACAATCGAGACGTCTCAACGCAAGCGGGCGGGCCGAAGCCAACGGTGAGGGATGACATAAGGGTGAGATGGACCGGGCCCAACGTACGGAGCGTCCACTGCCTCTCACAGCACGGCCAGCTTTGCGCAGCGTGTCCCGTAGGTTTTGGCGGCGGGAGGCATGCTCGACGCTCAGGCCAATGGCGGCGCCTGGGTGGGCCGGCGGGTGGCCTCTTCAGTGGAAGACGGAGGACGGGGGGTTCCAGCTGCCGACATGTGATCGACCGAGACAAATCGACCGGATCACCGCCTGTCCCCGGCCCAGAAGGGGAACGGTGGGCTTCTCCAGGAGGTACGTAGAGCCCGGGTACCACCACAGCGGGCCACGCCGGGCCTCAGCGGGACGGACAGGCGGCCTAGGTATGGAGGTAGGGGCAGTGGGAAGTGGGTTCCAGAGGTGCAGGTGGTCAGGCCAGGTTGCATGGAAGGACCTGCCGCTGGGGCCCGCGGGCCTGGGCACGGGCACTTTGCGGGTGCTGCACTGCTGGATGTACAATGTGCTGACGCGCCATGTTCAGTATGGAGGGGGCACGAGCAGATTTTAAGTATGTACGTGCAGCAATGGCCAAGCGAGGGAGGGCCCAAGCTCGGACGGGATCAATGATGGGGTGACGAAGGATCCATCGTCCATCCGTTCGTTCCTCTGCGGCATTGACGGCGGTCGTCCGAATGGACAGCAAGCTGTATTGAGGACTGCCTATAGCAGGTGGTTGTGGCGCAGCCCTGGTCGATCCATGGATGTTTCGGCGGGCTCCCTCTAGGTTCCCAGCGGGCACGCAGCTGTGGCTAGCGGCTGCCCAAAAATACCTCCGGCCTCCGGGCAGGCGAGCTGGACGCGCTGGAGCACACACCGGAAAGCTGGCTCCAGCGGCCCCGCCCACCACCACCGCCTCAACAAGGAACCTGGAACCTATCTGGCTGCACCAGGTCAGGCAAGCCAGGGCACCCGTGGTGGGCACTCAGCACCTAAGCCACGCGCGTCCTCCACGGGCTGCCCGCTGTAGGAAGCGGAAGCGCGGCGCGCGACGCAGGGGTTCACCAGTCCCCTCGTGTCGAACCAGCCAAGCCCCATGTCGACAAGGGCAAGGTGGCATTTTATTCAAGCTGAGCTGCAAACAGCCTCCACCACGCCAAGCCAAGGGGCCATCTGTCTTCGCGCATTCTCACCAACGCTACACACGGCATTCCTCCTCCTCCTTTTCATCCCTCTCGCCGAGAAGCCTTCGTTCTTGGCCATTCTTCTTTTTCTTCCCTTTCTTCTCTTTCCTCGCGGCTGCGCATTGGTGGCCCGCGTCTTTTTTGAGTTCCTCCCAGCTCGTCCAGTCGTTCACGATCCGCTCCGGGTAAGTCGGCAGCAAGCAACGCCGACTCCCCTTTATCCTCCTCCCGCCGCGTCCTGTCCGGTGTTTCCCCCATCGCTGCTTCTCCGGACGAGGCATCGTCGCTCCATTGCCCCCTGATCCGTGTCCATGGCTGCCGACAGGGCCGCCGTCGCCTCCGGGGCTGACCTCGGCGATGGCCTGAGAAAGCGTCCCGTCGCCGCATCGCAAGCGTCCCTGACCCCCCAGGGTGGCCAGGCCGACGATAAGAAGAAGCTCGCCAAAAAGGTATGTCGAAGCCCCGTGCAGATACCTGGCGCCATTGATCTGTGACCTGACTGAGAGCGCCAGGACAAGAGCTTCGCCGAAACCTTTGACGAGTGGGAGCCCATCTTTGCCCCGCTCATCTTCACGGCCCTCGCCTTCTTCACGCGATTGTGGAAGATTGGCCTCAGCGACATTGTGACCTGGGACGAAGCGCAGTATGGCCAGCCGCCCGCAGCCCCTGGAGGCTTTTGCTAACCTCGGCATTTCCCAGTTTTGGCAAGTTCGGAAGCTACTACATCAAGCATGAATACTACTTCGACGTCCACCCCCCGCTGGGCAAGATGCTCGTCGGCCTCTCGGGAGTCCTCGCCGGCTACAACGGTTCGTTCGAGTTCAAGTCTGGCGAGAAATACCCCGAATATGTCGACTTCACCTCCATGCGCGTCTTCAATGCCCTGTTTGGCATCGCCTGCATCCCCCTGGCCTACTTCACGGCCAAGGAGCTTCGCCTGCGTAAGCCCGCCGTCTGGCTCGTCACGCTCATGGTCCTCTGCGAGAACTCGTACACCACGATCAGCCGATTCATCCTCCTCGATTCCATGCTGCTCTGTGGCACCGTGGCCACCGTCTTTTGCTGGGCCAAATTCCACAACCAGCGACACAACAGCTTCGAGCCTGAGTGGTTCTTCTGGCTCTTCATGACTGGCGTGAGCATCGGATGCGTCTGCAGCGTCAAGCTTGTTGGACTCTTCGTCACTGCCCTGGTCGGCCTGTACACGATTGAGGACCTCTGGAACAAGTTTGGCGATACCAAGATGCCTGTCGTAAGTGCTCTGCAACGTGTGCGGAACAAGTTATGGATGGCTAACGATCACCCCATAGACTGAACTCGGCGCCCACTTCGTCACCCGAGTTGTCGGCCTCATCGTCATCCCCTTCCTCATCTACATGCTGTCCTTTGCCCTGCACTTTGCCATCCTCGACCACACTGGCCCCGGTGACGCGCAGATGAGCTCGCTCTTCCAGGCCAACCTCAAGGGCACGGAAGTCGGCAAGAACAGCCCCCTGGAGGTTGCCATTGGGTCCCGCGCGACTCTCAAGAACATGGGATACGGCGGCGGCCTGCTTCACTCGCACGTGCAGACCTACCCCGAGGGCTCTCAGCAGCAGCAGGTTACTTGCTACCACCACAAGGATGCCAACAACGACTGGTTCTTCTACCCCAACCGCCGCGAGGAAGACTACGACCCCGAGTCCAAGGACATGAGGTTCCTTGCCGACAACTCCGTCATCCGTCTCATCCACGCGCAGACCGGACGCAACCTGCACTCGCACGACATCTCCGCGCCCGTGTCCAAGGCCGACAAGGAGGTCTCGAGTTACGGCAACCTCACAGTTGGCGACGAGAAGGACCACTGGAAGATCGAGGTCGTCCGGGACGTTGCCTCTCGTGACCGCAGCCGCATCCGAACCCTGACGACCGCTTTCCGCCTGAAGCACGAGGTTCTGGGTTGCTACCTGAAGGCCACCAACAAGAACCTGCCGCAGTGGGGTTTCCGCCAGATCGAGGTTACCTGCACCAAGGACAACAACCCTCGTGACGCCTACACCCACTGGAACGTCGAGGCTCACTGGAACGAGAAGTGTACGTGGAGAAACCCCTGTTGGTCGTGTTGTGCTCGCTGACTCCGTGTAGTGCCCGCTGGCGACCCTGGCGTGTACAAGTCGCCATTCTTCCACGACTTTGTCCACCTGAACGTGGCCATGATGACCTCCAACAACGCGCTGGTTCCCGACCCCGACAAGCAGGACGATCTCGCCTCGCAATGGTGGCAGTGGCCGTTTTTGCATGTTGGTCTCCGGATGTGCGGCTGGGATGACAACATTGTCAAGTACTTCCTGCTCGGCAACCCCCTGGTTTACTGGGGCAGCACCGCCGCGTTGGGCGTCGTCGGTCTCGTCGTGGCGTGGTATCTGGTGCGCTGGCAGCGCGGCTTCAACGACCTGAACTCCAAGGAGATTGACCAGATCCACTACGCGGGCATCTACCCCGTTGCAGGATGGTTCCTGCACTACCTGCCGTTCGTCATCATGGCCCGTGTCACCTACGTCCACCACTACTACCCGGCGCTTTACTTTGCCGTCCTGTCGTTTGGGTTCCTGGTGGATTGGCTCGTGAGGAACCGCAACTCGACTGTCCAGGGTGCGGTGTACGGAGTCTTGTACACTGTCATCATCGGACTCTACATCCTGTTCATCCCCATCTGTTGGGGCATGGTCGGACCCAACAAGCAGTACAGCTACATGAAGTGGTTCGACAACTGGAGAGTCACCGACTAAAGACAGCTCCAACGCTGTTGGCTGCTAGCGACACGATGAACGGCTCACACGCGGTTTGGAGGAATCCGCAGGGCTCCCGTTCAGCAAGGCCTACGTCGCCTTGCGATATCGACGCTCCCTCCATGACAACTGTAGGAATCTAGGCATGGGATGTCACGGGATTTTTACGAACTTGGGCCGGGATGTATAAAAAGGTCTCTAAAAACGAGTAGAACAACCGGAGGGCAGGCTCTGCGTCTAATGCAATATGATAATTTCCTTAACCTTCGAACGGGGCACGTGGGACGTGAACATGATCATCTTGACGATGTGTGCTCGTACATTATGCATTACTGCATTAGTCGTAACGTAACGTGCCGTGGGCGTGCGTCTGGGGATTGCGATATCGGGTATCATGCTCGATCAACATATGGTGTGAACCGTGCTCTCTCATGTTTCCCCCCATGGAACAAGTGTCCCTTCAACAGCAGCCGCCGCCTCCGGACTTGGCGTCGGCCAGCCTGACCTGCCGGTTGCCGCCGGCGCCGGGCCCCTTGACGCCGGATCTCCTGTCGTTCAAATCGTACTTGCCGGCCTGTATGTTCTGGTATATCCGCTCGGCGACCCTGGTGAAGGCCTTCTCGACGTTCTCACCGCTCTTTGCGCTCGTCTCGACGTATTCCATGACGCCGTTCCTCCGGGCCCACTCCTCGGCCTCCTCGCGGGTGACCTCGCGCTCGTTGCGCTCCTGCTGCGTCAGATCGGCCTTGTTGCCGACGAGGATGACGACGATGTCGGGCTCGGCGATCTGGCGCAGGTCGTTGAGCCAGTCGGTGACGTGCTGGAAGGTCTGCTTGCGGGAGAGGTCGAAGACGAGGAGGGCGCCGCTCGCGCCGCGGAAGTAGGAGCGCGTGACCGACTTGTACGTCTCCTGGCCGGCCGTGTCCCAGAGGCTGAGCTTCATGTGCTTCTGCGGGTGCTTGCTCGTGTCGCGGGGCGGCTCGGGCAGGCCGTCAGGGGCGGGAGAGGAGCCGTCGCCGGTGGTGGTGGTCGCGGCGAAGGGCGAGGAGGGCTTGCTGTGCGGCGGGCCGACGGGTACGATGCGGGAGCCGAACTCGACGCCGATGGTGACGTCGTGGTGCGGGGAGAAGCGGCCCTCGCAGAGGCGGATGGTGAGGCTGGACTTGCCGCATCCCGAGTCGCCGATGCAGACGAGCTTGGCGATGTAGTCCCACGGCGTGGACGCCATGGGCGCGGCTGCTGCGCTGCGAGCGAGGGCGGCGCGGGTCGGTGGGAAAGGGGTGGCCGGGCCGGGATGGAAGAGCCGCCCGACAAGGGGGGAGGCGGTTGGCTACACGTTGGTAGCCGGTGTTGGGACACGTGCCGGACGTGTGAGTGTGTGTGCGTGTGTGTGTCTGGATCGAGACAATGTGTGAGGGAATCGCGGCAAGGAGGCGGGCGGCCGGGGGCGTCGACGAGACAGATTGCGATGCCGCAGTAGCAGCAACAGCAATCAATATGCACTATCAAGCAAGCTAAAAAGAGGAAGAAGGAACAAAACTCCCGTTGATGAGCCGGACAATTACTTGTACAATGTCGGAGGAAACAGAGCGCACGCGCGCGGAACGGACGTGCACGAGGCCTGAGTCGGGGGAGGGTATTGATGAATGGGCAGGCTGGTCGTGAATGGGGACGGGAGAACGGTCGTCGTTCGGCGGCGGGCGGATGATGGGACGGGGTCGTCAGGTCTGGATTGGGTTGTGTGTCACGGCGGGTCGTCACGGGAGGGGGAGGCGGCCACCGGCGTGGATTTTCCGACCGCCCCGGTGACCCTGGCTGGGGCCGGGGGGGCGGTCGCTCATCGTGCTGTAGCAGCAGCTGAGACTGTTCGGGGGCGCTGCCACGGGCACCTCAGTGACGCAAAGCTGGAGCCGGTGGAGAGACAAGTCGAGACACAGCACGAGCACGGGCGGTGGAGGACTGGGCTCGCGATAAGAGCTGCAGGACCCGCCTAGGTATCGGTCGCCCGAGTCGACAACTGTGGTGCGACGACCACACGGCTCAGGAGCAGAATTCTTCCAGCTGGAGGAAAAAGAAGCTGGATTGAGCCCGGCGTGGAAGCCTCCTACCGGGAGACGCGGCGTCTGCCGTGATAAAGAGGACCCTTGGAAGCCGTGCCGATGATTCCAACACTGCCGCTTGCGTCCAGCGCTTGGGCCGTCGTGGCGGCTAGGCTTCGCGTTAGGTTGGCGTCTCTCAGGCAGTGCTACCAAGAGAGCAAGGTTCCCAGCGTCAGCGGGCAGCTGCCTGGGCTGTTGTCACCGCCCGCCACCGCCTGAGTGACGCTCACGCCCAGGCGGCATCAATGGGGCCAGAGGCGCTAGACGTGACGCAGCGGGCTGCCCAGGCTAACATGGAACCTTGACCCCCCCAGCCAGGTGGGCCCTCCCCCAGAGCTGCCCCCCGAGCCTCAGCGGCAATCATTGGGTCTGCCTGACGATGGGTCATTCGCTCGTCACTCACCCGCCAACACCGGCAGCCGCCTCACGGCGCATGACCAACCCTCCCGTCCATCTGCACTGGGCATCGCTCCTCATCACCGACCGTAGTCTCTTCTTGTTCCTTGTCTTACGTCGCATCTCACTCTCCATCATCATCTTCGTCCTAGCCAGCGCACGTTCTCCCCCGGCCTCATTTATCCTCTGCAAACAATACCGCCATCGCATCGTCATAGCCGTGGGACCCTTCCCCCCGCTTGTTTGCCTGGCACACACGACTCTTATCTGCTGCCTGGACCATCCATCCGCGTTTCGCGACACCTGCAGCACGAGCCCAGCCCGTTGGCTCTTCTCTTTCGCCCTGGCGACCACCATCGATCATTCCGTCAGCATCGGGGTAGCCGCGCCGCGCACGACGCGAGGCGGCGGTTGGTGAAGGGGCCATCATCATGTTCTCGGAATGTGCGTACAACCCGCCCGTCTCTCGTTTGCTGATCGTAGGAGAGCGCCCCCTTCTGACTCTCGAACCCCCACTCCAGATGCCTCACGATTCCTGGCCCAGTCGCAGTCGCGCCTGTCCAACTTTGCCGGCCAAACCGACAACGACCAACCGCCCCGGACGAGCGACTGGACGGCCTCGCGACCGGGCCGGCAGACCCGCGACGCTGGTAGGGGAAACGCTCCCAGCCGATCATTTCTGTCGCGGGGCTATGGCGGGAACCCGTATCAGCAGACCGGCGCCGGCTCGCGGTTCGGAAACCTAGCGTTCGCTTCTCGCATTTCGGCTGCGCAGGACGCGCCCTTGTTCCACAGCACGCTCGACGAGTTCCGCGAGGAGGACGACGAGGAGGAGCGCGAGAGGGAGGCGGCGGATCTGTTTGCGCTCCAACGGTCACGGCGCGTAGCCGCCGCGAGCAAGCTTGCCGAAAGCACCGAGTCGGCAAACAGCCGCGGCTCCATCGAAGACAGCAGGGGGGGTATGGACCATCCTTACAGGCAACGCGGTATCAAGAGCAGCTGGAACGGCACGCGGAGCTCACATCAACCACGACCTGCTCACGACACATTATTAGAAGAGGCGGAGGAGGTACCCCCAGCGGCCGGCGAGCATCCCAGTCCTGACAGCAAGGGTAAGATGGTGGATGTCGGGCTGGAATCGCAAGAAGACCCCGACGAGGACCCTCCCGAGTCTTTACTCGGCGGCGAGGCCCCTACCGACTCGAGCCCTCCGCCGTTTCAGCAATTTAAGTCACACACAGAGCGTACACCTTTCATGCTCAACCGGAGCGAGACCAACGAGTCGGAAGTGAGCAGCATACGAAGGCAGGACCCAGCCGAGTTCGAGCAAGCCCAGCCGGGGAATCTCCTGATCGAAGGAGAGCTCTTCCGCCACGACCCCTTCTTCGCCTGGATATTCCTCATCAGCTTCGCCGGCATGATGTCGACGTTTGTCCTCGTGTGGCTGCACACGTCACCGTCAAAGAGCCCAGTCGGAGACACGATATACTCGACGCTGCAAAAGTCATTCCACATGCTGGCAGTCGACACGGTGGTTGCGGTGCTCGTGTCCTTTGTCTGGCTGGCGGCCCTCCGGTCTTTCGTGCGGCCGCTGGTCAGTGTCATACTGATTGCGGTGCCCGTCATCATGCTGTCCTTCTCTCTATACTCGTTCATCTCCTCCTTCAAGGGACGGACACATGGAGGAAGCGCACAAGATAGAGTCATGCGGTGGCTGTCGCTTATACCCGCAGCTTCGTGCATTCTGTGGCTCTGGCTCGTCGTCAAAGGTCGCAGGGCCATCCACCAGGCGATCGAAATCTTGCAGTTTTCGTCCAAGATCCTGGCACAGAATCCGGGACTGCTCCTCGTCGGCTTCGGGACCCTCGCCCTGATTGTTGTGTGGACGTGGGGCTGGCTCGCCATGTTCACGCGCGTCTTCATGGGCGGCTACTTTTCAAAGTCGCTGGTACGCTTCGTGATCCAGGTGTCGAGCTGGTGGCTGGGCGCTGCATTCATCTTCATGTATCTTTGGACACTGTCGGTGATTAACGCCGTGCATCGGGCGACGACGGCGGCAACGGTATCGCAGTGGTACTTTCATCGCAACGCGGCGCCCGCGACCCCTTCCAAGGAGATTGTGCTGGCTGCGGCCGCGCATGCGACGACGACGATATTCGGCAGCATCTGCGAGTCGACGCTGCTGTCGCTCCTGATCCGAGCGCCGCTGCTCTTCTTGCCTAGGAGGATCGGGGGCGCCATTACCAACCTGGCGGCGTTCTGGATACCGACACCCATCATCGCGCTTACGAACCCGCTGACGGTCACGTACGGGGCGATTCACTCGCAGAGTCTGGCGACATCGGCAAGGGGCCTGGACCAGATGGAGATTGTGTCGCCGGCGATCCCCACGACGACGCTCACGCCGCGGACGCTGCGGGTGCGCGGGCAACCCAACGGGCTACTTCCGTACCGGCTGGCGAAGCTGCTCCTCGTGGCGACGCGGCTCATCATGGCCACGGGCTTGGGATTCGCGGGATGGGTGATAACGGCGAAGCAGCTCCGGATCCAGCTGCCCGAGGGGACGGGCATGCGTGGGTCGGCGTACGCGTACGTGGTGGGCATCATGGCGAGCTTCATCGGCTACTCGGTCATGGGCGCGATGGAGGGCATCCTGAGCGGCATCGTGGACGCGGTGCTGATTTGCTACGGCAGCGAGCGGCGCATGGATAGGGGCCACGGGCGGTACTGCCTGGAGGCGGCGTATCTGTTTGGCGAGCGGCGGATCGGGGAGGAGGGATATGCTTGAAGCGATGTGCTCGAAGCGATGGATGGCGTGCAGCGCGGCGGCCCAGGTAAGGGCGCGGCTTCATCGTCGTCGGTGTCTCTGATATGGCATTATCTGGTGCGGCGTGTGGCCGCCTGGTGTCATGGATAGATTGGTAGAGCGTTATTTTTCGTTATGAACAGAGAGCGCGTCGGTTTGCTCAACTGTGCGGTTGGTTGCGCATCGTGAATGTCGAGTCGTCGACAATCATCAAAGGGTTGCAGCCTTGGAACGACGTCATTCGTAGTATGTACAGTATTCCAGATCTCTCGTCTCGCTAAGCGGTGCCTCGAGCATGCTCTCCTGCTCTGGATGCGTAATTGCCGCCTCTTGACAAATGCGACGCAACATTTCCCATCGTGGCTGCAACCCGAAAGCGAGCCCGACTGCACAGCCATCGGCGGCTCCTGTTGTCGTCGTTCGTCCCCCAGTCCGGCGTGGCTGATGCACCGGCGGCGTGCCCGCGCAGGCGTGGCAACGCCCCCCAGTGACGACGACAGGGACGGGATCCCCCAAGCGCCGGTAGGCCTCCTGTCCTGCCCACCTGCAGCCCAGCCCAGGCCTTGGGGGGCAGAGC